GCCGATTCTCCTAGGAGGGGACAATTTTCTAATTATGTAACTTTGGTACGTATTTTTCCTTTATAACACACACGCACGCACACACACACACACAAAAAAAAAAAAAAAAAAAAAAAGAGAGAGAGAGAGAATTTAGTATAAAATGGAGCTTAGGTTTTTACCTCAAACCTTATCTATTTCTGTATTTATTAAACAAATTAAAATATGTTCGAGAAACTTAAAGGATGATGGGTGAGGGCGGCAGTTTTAGCTTTTGCCCTGCATCAGAAAAATCAAAGATCCAGTGCTGGCTCCAGATACTGTCGTTTTTGTCGCAGTGCGAGAAACATATTTCTTTACATACAATACAGGGCGATAATATTTGGTAAAAAGCGAGGAGACACAGACATTTATAGTAAAACAGCGTAAAATGCCGCTTCGAAACTAACCTTTCTAGGCTACCGCCCCTTTGGGCTAATAAATTAACAGTAAATAAAAAAAAATATTATGCAGAACTAAAAATATATTAAAAAAATAATCACTATAAAGCAAACTCACAAGTTTGTGATTACTCACAAGCAAAATTAATTATTACGGTTAAATATAATTTTAATATTAGAATTAAATGTATAAAAATTTTTATCACTTTGATGTATTATGAAATATAATTGAAATAAAATTCCTTTATAGAAATTGTGCTATAATACTCATCTATAATTTTAAAAAAGCAGCACAATTTAGAATTTTAAGCAAAACTTTTAAAAATTCGTTTTTAAATGTTTTAGTATTTTTTACTTATTTACACCAATGAAAAGCATAAAAATTGCAAGAGAAAATTGCTTGTTTGAAATTTTCTATTAGTTCAGATTTAAAATATTATTTTTTGAAAGTAGTAGTTACAAATTTCCTTACAGCATAGGAAAAGCTAAAAAAAATATCCAGCCCTGAAAGCATTTAATAGCTTTATAATTATTTGGAACGCTAATTATGCTTCATCAATATGCTAAATTTTTAAAAATCAATCTCAATTTCAAAAATATAAATATGTAGAAATTCTAATTTGTGAAATGAGTCACTACAACCAGATTTTTCTTGACAACTATACATGCTGCAATAGGCAACCACTGTTAAATTACTGCAAGTCGTCCCTACTCCTCCGGATGTGATCAAGGTGACAGCCGGGAACGCCTCAGACGAGGGAGAAAAGCCATCGGGGTTAGTCTATTTCTTATAAGGTCCATGCACAGTACGAAATTCCCCGACTTTTCCAGATTTTGACTAAAATATTTAAATTCCCTGACTTTTCTTTCCGACTTTTTGGTCAATTTTCGAATTCCCTGACTTTTCCCGGTTTTTCAGCTAGCGTGGTATCCCTGACTGAACCAAAAGAAATGAAAATATTTTAAGGTAGATATTCAGTCTAATAATCTAATTTTCCCTGCTATAATTGATACAGGGTCACAGGTTAATGTTATATCTGGAAATATTACAAACTTTATGAATGCACAAATCGAAATTATTGAAAATAACCCTAACACAAAATTATTCTCTCTATCTGTAGGCCTTTCTGTGACCAAAGTAGTTAAATTATCATGCAAAATAGGTAGACTTACTAATGATAATTTTACTTTACTAATAATACTTTATGTTGTGAATTTTCTACTCTGACATATTTATTATCCTCATCACCTTGTATTTCTTTATTAAAACTGCAATTGAATTTTAATAATTATGAAGTATATCAGTTTAAACACATGATAAGTAAAGTTATTCAATTAGATAAACTTTTTCACAACAATTTCGTATGTAAAAATAGTGTAAGTACTAAGACAATTACACTGAAAATAGTGAAACTGCTGATGATCAGTTGAAAAAATTGTTAAGTAACTAGAATCATATATTTGCTAAAAATAAATATGATGCGAGTTGTATCAATATGGAACTTCAGGGAGTAGTTTCCTACAATTAGTGTCTCTACATAATTTGAATAATACACAGATTTGTTTTTCTTTTTTAAAAACTATTTTCAGATTTTAATATCAATAAAATAAGAACTTTTAAATTTCAATCGATCCACAGATTTCTGGCCAACTCATTATTAAGATATTGATGTACACTAAAATATTATCATATCACACAGCAAAAGATGTTAAGTTTCATAACTTTCATCTTATTATTTTAATTCATGCAGTTTTTCAGTTAACCTCACTTATATAACCTGGATAGCATGCTAGTTGTATTAATCAATTAACAGACTAAATTAATCAATACATGTATGTTCAAGTTTATTACAATCTGTATACATTTTACGGTTGCTAAATCTTACACTCTAAAATCTATTGAAACTGAAGTAAATTGCCAGCACTATGCTACTAATGTTTTTACTTTCTTTTATTACTGAATTATAGCAATCACCTAAATTTTCGGGTATCATATTTCAACAAAAATATCCATTTTAACTGCTCACAAATCCATTTGAATAATGTTTTTGCGTAATATCTGAACATGCAGACAGAATAAAGGACTCACATTACCAAAACAGATAATTAATTTAAAAAGAATTCAGAAGAGAATTTTTCCTGATGTTCGTATGTGTCTCACATAACTAAAAAATGAGCAGCCGTAGAATGCTGAAAATAATATGTAGCTATGCATCTCTATTTTTGGCTGAAATTTTAGCTGCACCAAACACACACACATATATAGATATACACCCAATCCGTTACCTGGCTCGGTGAGTATATGTTGGTAAATTGTGCATTTTTTGCTTTAAAAGTGATTGAATTATGTTGTTCTCATGCTCTGGCTAAGTTTTTTATGACTTTAATTAATTTGCAAGCAACAGTTGTAGAATTATCAACAATTTAAAGGTTTAAGTGGTTTGAAGCCCAACGAATTGGATTGGATTATTTAATTATGGCAAAGCACACGAGGGCTATCTCCCTAAGGAAGGGATGCTTTCGTGGAGGACTTTCTAAGGGAAACTGGCTGGTATACACGTTACACATGGGGATAACCACGAAAACACCCATGCAGCCAGCCCGTTCGCGGGATTCGAACCTCGGACCGAACTACCAGTGTTCGGCATCTTTACCACTCGGCCGCAATGAGGCCCCCCCATTTGTTTACATTTGAAACTCTTAGCTAAACAGTGAATTAAATCAGTTTGTATATTCACATTAGTGCCTTTCTTCCAAGTGGGACCAAAAGTAAACTTTCAGTTTTGTAAATTAAAAAAAAAAAAAATATTCTTCCGGTGCCCTCTGACCAAATTGCTTGATTTTCTGCAGAAACTCTAACTTTAGTTGTATAAATTCTTTTCTGAAGTATTTTTAACTGCTTTTGGTGTTTTAGGTTTCTCTGTATTTTACTTTTTTTAATGAAGATGTTTTGAGTTATGTATTTTTGCCTTGCAGCGAAGTGAGAACTGAATTGATTGAAAGAGATATATATCTCTAATGAAATTCAAGGAAATAAGTTTAACCTTCCAGCACGCGCCTTGGCAATTTTACACGAGTACGCATGCAACGTATTTTTTACGACATCCGTTATTTGACCGTTGTTGGCGCAAAAACGACAGAAATGAGTGAATATTGATAATAAATTTGTTAACAAATAAAATATTAATCTTATTACTGCAAAATACAAATGATATCACATTCAAATATAAGTAAATTATTTTTAAGTTCTAATGTTAGTGAGATGGAAATGCAATGATGTATTTCATTATAGAAAATTTTAAATTTATTATTTAAATAATTATTTTAAAATCAAAGCTAATTTTAATATTCATCAAAGATAAGTATAGACAATAAAAAAGGGAAAACACCTTGGTAGGATAAAAAGTAAGTTTAGCATTACTTACTTCTGCAAGGAAATTTACTTCTTACTGGTTACAAAAACGCACTTTAAACTAACTTTAATGTTTTTATTAATTTCTAAAAAATAGAAATAAAAGAAAATAAGGAATGAAAATCGCTATTGTTCTCCCATCCAAAGGTTTGTTTGTCTTCCTCTTCTTCAACAGATAATTCTTGAAGAATCTGAGCAAAATCAGCTGGTTGCATATATATTTTTGCCATGAAAACCGATATAAAATTTACAGAGCCAAATGTATTCAAATTAAAAAATACACGGCAATTAATAACACAAAATTACAAAATATTTGAGAAAAAAAATATTTTCCGAATTTTAAAACTTGACCACGCGAGTGTCGTAAATTTTATAAAAAAGCTGCCCGTAGCACAAAAGCCCAGTTAAAAAAAAAAAAAAAAAGTCAAATGACTTCCTGTTGGCACATTCCATGATGTGGGGAAGGGTAGAAAGGAGGAATAGAAATGACCTTCAGCCGTCTCAGCTTCGATATGTGAAAAATGTGCATTAAAAACTTAATTTGTCGTAAATTTTGCACATACGCGCGTGCTGGAAGGTTAAATGAAATGCAGCAAAAAATGTGTATAGTCAGAAGGAATACTAGAAGGAAGTCATGTGGTGTCCACATCAAATATTTTTAATAAGGAGTTCATTACATGAAAATAGGTTTATGTTTAATATACTTACTGTAAATCATAATGCAAAACCTTCAGTATCTCTTTTGAAGTCCTCAGTAGTTTTTCTACTGTTCACTAACAGCAATTGTTTAACTATTCATGCATTAATGAGCAAAATTGTTATTATTTTTCTTATATATTCATTACTAACTTTTCTGTTTTTAATAATACTTTCCCCTTAATAAATCTTCCATTTAAACGACTCTTAACCATCAGTCCTTTAAAAAAAAATATTTAACAGAGTTCTGTTCTATAGCATTTTACTTTAACTATTGAAGGAATATTGATAACTTTATTTTTTGTAAAACGAGTGCTCAGTGATTATTTAGCTCTATTTTAAAGCAGAACTATTATAGTATATCAAATAAAATGACTTCTGGATTATGAGAATTTTCTAGAATTACTACAATGTTTTTTATTTTGAAAGAGTTTGTTATAAATGTAAAATGCATGAGACTTAATAATGACTCATCATATTTATCACAGATTTAATTAAATAAGTTTTACACAACAAAACAATAATTTCCATAATTAATGTAAGTATAATTAGTTCTGTTTTCATTACAAAAGAAACTACAAGAATTGCATGTAATAAATACCATTTTTCAATTCAAACAGACATTATGTTACAAGCCATTAAATTAGTAAATTTAAGAATCAGTGAAGTAAAAGCTGAAAACATATTAAAGAACTGTTTCAAACTAAAATAAACTGTGAGGGTAAATTTAGACTTATCTTAATACAAACAGCATAGCAGATATTTTACAAGGTATCATACCACTGTTTTAAGAAAAAACTAATTTTAATTTGGATTAAATATTAATTACATTCATGACTATTATAATAGTACTCTTACCTTTCTACTACTAGAAATTTTTATCAATTTGAAAAACATCAAACTATAAATGTTTTCATTAAAATTTTTGGCATTTCCGTTTTTATTTAAATCCAAAATATTTTTCAAAAAGAGCAATATACTCATAGTTTCTCATAATATTTTAATATGTTAAGCACCATGTCACCAGTGACTAACACTTTACTTTCTATTTGGACGTGAATCACTGAAATATAGTATACTTTTCATTTAAACATCAGGTTTGATTCGGCAAAACTGAATGTCATGGGTTAAACAGAAAAGAAGACAAAACAGGCCTGGTGCTTAATGTGTTAAAACTGATACTGTTAATTTTTTCAAATTTTAATCATACTACAAAAGAATCACAAAATAAGGTAAAATGCCCATACGGAACTTTATTATAAATTAACAGCAAAGATATTAAATATAATTCAGTGATTAAATTACATTAAGTATTTAATTTTTAGGAAAATACATCACTGCAGAAACATGCAAATAAATTTTAACAAAGCTTTTAAATTGATAAGTGAAAAAGCATTATAATGCATGCTACACATATCCACAGTGCATCTTTTATATTTAATACATAAATTAAAAAATGTTACTTCTTAAGCTTTTGAATTAAAACACATACTACAAAACAATGACTGGGTACTTTGAGTCAGGAAATACTTCCTTAACTACAACATATGAAATTTGTGCAAAATTAAATATCATAAAAATTTCAAATTAAAAATAACAATACATCTTACAAATATTAGATAAAACACATTTACGTGCCATCTGCTAAGAAAAGTGCATCCTAAAGCACAGGAAAGTAATATGGCTTTTAAAGATTTAAAAATCTATATATTTCTAAGCAACTATAAAAGTTTGAGTGCTGAAGGTTTAGTTATAAGCTAAAAGTTACGTAAGTTAAAAATTTAAATGGAGTTATAAAGGTCTAATGACTGCTTTAATATATTTACCAAATTTTAGTTAAATATATAAAATACTACAGTTAATAACATAATGAAATAATTTACTTTTATTATAAAATTGAAGATAATATACATAGAATTTAATGGCTTTTTTTTTTTTTTTCTTTTTTCTTTTTTTTACAGGATTAATTGCAAATTTGTATACAAATATAATTCGACCTTCCATACAAATCATTGGTAGGTTTTCTTATTAAATCAATAATTTGTTTTATTAAAATTTATAAGAAGATTATGCTTTAATCTGCAGTGATAAAAAGATAAAAACTGAATGATCTTATATTTCATAACTTAAAAGAATATTCACGGATGAAAATTTGAAATTAGTAATGGAATAATTATTGAAAAAAAGTGAGCGCAATAAAAACTTTCCACATGGAGAAGATTTTGTTCCAAGTAATATTCCCTTAAATTTGGAAATAAAATAGATGTGATAAAGCATAGATTTTTAAAGCTAAATGTCTATATTAGCTATGATACCTATGGTCGAGTACAGTATGCTATAACTTCCATGCTACCTTCTTTAAGAAATATTCCATTGTAAAAATAGAGAAAAAGTCTAGCACAATTATATTTCAGTAATTAGTAATAAATATTAAATAGTTTGAAATTAAACTAAAAATTTTTTAAACATTTTAAGCAAGTACTGATTGCCTACTTTAAAAATAAAATTCCATGAATGTGATTACTATGATAAAATACTTTGTGTGGTTTGCAAGAGAAACTAATCAAACACAAAAGTTCATTAAACCGAAAAAAAAAATGACATTCATTTTCACTTTTCAAACAGTCGGTGGGAATACAGAATCACGAAACGTAAGACTACATACATGTAATATCTTGGAAAAGCTCATGGCATAGTAAATACATTAAGAAGAAACTTGCAGGCACAAGCAAGGGTGCCATAGCAGCTTGTTCTTATAACAATTTTTTATACCGGTACAGATAAACTTGTGAAATGTATTTTTGAAGACAGCAGCAAATTGCAAAAGTGAAATGTCAAGCAAAAAGTGTCATAATCCCAAATGAAGGTTTAGTTTAAAGGATGAAAGAAATGTTTTGGTTTCCAAATTTTAAGTTCCAAATTCTACATCATTTTTGAAAAATACAATGCTCATGATTTATATGTCCATATTATTTTTTAAATTGTTATTTAATTCAAAATTTTATGATTTATATTTTCCATATATTATATTTCTCGTATGTTGCTGTTCTAATGCTTTTTTCTCAAAAAGGCTTTTCTGTTGCTAAGCCTTTTTTCCTTTGAAGGGAAAGTGGATTATGTAAGAGAAAAATAAAATCTATTCTTAACTGGCACTTTAATCTGGACATTTCCCCTTCTGTTCTAAAAGTAGGAACTATTCATCATACATCAATCTAAACTGTGTCATTTGAAAATTAATCCACATCACACAATCTTATAAAATGCTGCAGGGCAGGTACCTTTTATCCAATCAGACTGAAAATTTCATTTGAAACCAAAATCTTTTTGACTCTCTCCTACACTTGCTTTCAAATATGCCCCTTTTCTGCCTGCTTCCTTCTTTCTAATATGCATAGCTGCTCGGCTCCCTCTATAGCATCTACTGTCTTAAGATGAGCCAAGTTCCAAAAATGTGGGGTGCATGTTGTGACCATAATAATGTGCGAGTCAGATTATGTGTCTCAAGAACTGCTTTATCCAATAATAAAATCATGTATCTATGGCTATATTTGTCTACAAGTTTCAATCTTCTATCTATGCAATAAATCTCTCCAATCTATTCCATACATGCTAAATTTTATAACAGCGCTATACACGTTTGAGAAATAAACATAGAGAAAAGTGTAAATATCAGAAAGACTATATAATTTCATTGAGATAAAGAACTTGGTCATGAAATTAGTAAAAATAGCAAGATTACAAAACATACGAAAAAATGTACAACAACTGGGAGGGTTGGACAGACTCTGGAATTCACATTGCGTTTTTTGAAAGAACTAGACATCACTTTTGAAGTTACATATATAAACTTCCACTGCATTAAAAAAAAAAAAAAAATATTTTCAAAAGACAGCTTCTTATGCTTTTTCTTTCTCTAATTGAGAACCCTTCCAAAAACAACAAATAAGAAAGTGACAAATAACAGTTGTAATAAGATTACAGACTCTATTCTCACATGCTTTTAATTTAGTTCTATTTAATCCGGGTTATATTACAGCCTGAAAAGTGATTGATATGGCTGGCAGCTAAGTGTGAGAACAGTAATAAAATACCAGTTTATTAAAAACTGCCATGAAACAATGTCAAAAAATAATTAATCATATCCAGCTGTAAAATACAATTCATGCAATCTAGCATGAAGAAATTTTCTTTGGCACATAAAATGTGAGCATGAGTGCAAGTTAGTGCCACTTATAACTATAATTTAAAATTAACATTATATGATAATGCTATCTTCAGAATAAAAATTTTAAAAAAATTGCATAGAATGCCTATACTTAAAATATTTGCATGAAATGTACATACAAAATTTTACTCACGTATCATCGAAATGATACATAATACATAAAAGTGTTAGTATATACAGTAGTAAAATTCAAAAGCATGAAGGAAAAGAGGTTAGATGTTCTATGTAATTAGCCTAAATCTTAAATAATAATAATAATTAAAAAATTAATTTTCATTCAGTATGTATAATGAGCATATACAGAAAAATCTAAGAAAAAATGTGAATGCTGTCTTCACATATGGTCCCATGATGTCAAATTTACATGTACATACAAATGTGTACCACATACAGCATCTTATTTGTGTTTGTGCAGAGATCTCTTATCATAGTATAATAAACATACTGAAACTTTAAAAAAGTCAGTGTGCTTCTCCAGTATCGAAGAAATCATCATTCCCAAAAGATATTCCCCTTTGAAATCCATCCTAAATTTAAAAAGAAAATATATATGTAATCAGATAAATACTAGCAATGCAAAAGATTTCTAAATGAGAATAATGATACATATATAAAGTAAATCAAAATTCTAACTTTAATAGTCTATTAACTCTCTATTTTAATTTGGTTATTTTCCTCTTCGGTCCCCAAAATAAAATAATAACTGCTTACAATAAATTTCTCTAAACTGTATCACTTCAAAATTAGTCCATATCGTGTGATTTTTACATAATGTTTATGAAGGAACTTAACATCATGCTTCAGGCAATAATAATTTCAAATTTGGGAATTTTAACATTACCAACCAATCAAAATAAAGGTAAACTTATACTCTGAATTATGAGTGCATCTTGGACATGTTACGTTCTCTCCTTTGGTTGCACTTATGTATCAATGCAACCATGTTGGCACAATTTAGTGATTTTTCACAAATGAAAAGGTAAAAGTTACTTATCAGATGCAGGTTGGTGGTTTTCATGACTTTCTTTTAAGAAGATTCCCAAACTTTTGACATTATCAACATATGAAAAAAAAAAAAAAAAAAAAAAAACAGAATTTAGCAATTTAAAATATGAATTTTAATTATTAAAGAAGGATTATACTATGCATTAAAAAATAAAATGCTTATATTCTTCTTCAAATCTTTTTGTAATTATTTGTGCTATTCTTCTCCCTATGAACACAATGATCTATTTTCACTTAAATAATTAAATAATCGCAGAACTGCAGAGACTCAATACAATGCAAAACTCTACAATACTTGCTAACTACCAAATGTCATCTCCTCATTGCTCCCTTTAGAGATTTTACAACAAAATTCTGTTCTCCAGAAATTTTATAACAGTTTCTTCCATTGCTGGCAAATTCAGCAAGTGCATATTTCAAAATTAAATTTAAGGGCAAAAATATCATGGGACTGTGGAGAGGGGAAAAAAAAAAAAAAAAAAACACTGGAACTATGAATACAACAAAATGAATGAATACTAAAATCATGGCATTACTTTGACTGAGGAATTCTGTTATGAGCATGGTTGCCCAAAGAATGGTTAAGTACATGTTTGCCAGAGTTTGGCATATTATGAAAATTTGGCGACTTGTATTAAGGTGGCTATGATAACTCACAAGTACCCTTTGATTTGCTACTGTCAATTGCTAATGCTTGGTGCTCTTGTTCTCTTAAATATATTTCATAAGTAAACAGAAACTGATGCATTTTTCAAGAACAGGTGTACTTGGGTACTTACACACCTAAATTATCTGTCTTTACTTAATAAATGTTGCCAACAGAAATAAAAAGTACATTAATTGTAAGTGCATACTACAATGTAACAGTAATAATTTTGAAGAGAAGATGGAGATATTTGCAATCATGGCTAGCTATAGAATATCCTCCAACACATTTAACAAAACATGTAGCAACTTAGTAGGTGCAATCTGAATAAATTAAACAGTTTCAATCCTGTATTTTGATACTTAAAAGCATTATGTTATCATTATATAGCACAATCTAGTGTTAAATTACCGAAATTACTTCTCATTTAAATATCTTAAATTTTATTTACATATGCACATATATATGAAAATATATTTGAGAGTCAATTTGAGAATTCTCCAAAATAGAATCAATTTTTCATAACATATTAACAATAAGATAAAAACATTCAGTAAAGTAAATCACATGTGGAGCAAATAAACTATAGGTTACACATTTTATTCAAGTTCTCAAACTGAACTAAAAATTTTATTATTATTATTATTGCTAAGACACTATTAATGTTATCATTTATTTTTTAATTATAAAATAGTTAGCTAAGATGCTGTAATAATCCTAAGAAACATGAATGTAAGATATGCGACTTAAGGAAAGAAAACATTATTCACAGTACTTACCTAGTGATGCCAGAGGAATAAACATAACAAAATTTCACAAGTGAATATATTATTTATTTTACTTTTTTTTTTCTGCAATATTATTATATATCTTAGGTAAATATTTAGATCACACATTAAACATGCCAGATCTACAGAAGCTTGGCTCTCACACTTTAATAAGAACACATACAGATACACACAAGATAGTCTTGATCTATCAACTGCAAAAAAATCATGAGCAAGTGTAGAATAGTAAATATTCACTAAAATAGGCTGTTTCCTGCTAAAAATATACAATCAAAAGTCGTTCGGACACCCATAATTCGGAATGATCTATAATCCGGACCTCAAAGCTAAAAACTTTCTGCGCATGCTCCGCGTTGACACATGCGCATAGGACCTCTTACGACTGCGCATTCGCGTGTGCGCAAGCGCAGAATACGTTTTCAAGTGCGTGTTTTATGTATAACGGACGGTGTAAGCTAAAATGATATAATTATCTATTTCAGTTAATGTTGATGATTGCGTTGTTCCTTAATTTTCGAATTGGATCCGGCTTATTATTTTTTGCAGACTGTAAGAGCAATACTAAAAAAGTAAACTTGAACTTTCGATTATGTCAAATAGAATTTTTGATTCTGGAGCTCCCAAAGGATCGTACAAAACGAAAGTATGTTTCGATGTCCATCAAACAAAAAGTGGAATTGCTGAAAAAAATGGATAAAGACATGAAGAATGTGACAGAGAGGTTAGTGAAAACGAAAAAATTTTGATTGACAAGTTAGTCGGTATTCTCGGCACAGCAATTAACGGGACTTGAACAGCGGAACTTTGTAAGTGAACAAAAAATTATGTCTGTTTATAGAATTAAAGAGAAAGTATTATCACATAAAACGAAACAACTTACATTGAAAGAAATGTTTAATAAAGTAAACAAATAAATATTAAGCTTTTTTTTGTAAATTTTGATACCCTTTAGATCATAATTGTTCCTTATTTCATAAATTACGGTTTCATATTTTTAATTTTAGAATTTCTGCATGCCATCTTACGCGATTTAAACTGATGATCTATAATCCGGAAAAATCGATAATCCGGAATCGCCGAAGTCCCGACGAGTCCGGATTAACGACTTTTGACTGTACTTATTTGCAGAATTTTACATGAAACACAATATTGCAGGTGTTAAATATGCGGTCAATTCTTGCACGAGGTAAGGAAAAATTATTCACACTTGAAGATCTTAACATCATCCATCATTTTAGATCATTCTTATAACATTTAACCACAAAAGGCCTGACGTATCTTAATCGGTTACAAAAATTATGGAGATAAACTCACTAAAGTGCAGGTAGAGTCTTGCTCACAAAAATAGCAGCGGAATAGCATTTAGAATAGGCGAGCAATGGCGACAGGAGAAGGAACAAGGCTGAAGCCTGCCCTTCACCCCACACTCCAAGCAACAGAAGAGAGAAAAAACTAATCAGAGAAGTCCCTTGGTGAGTTGTGCGGAATCTATGATGATGCTAAACAATATGAAATGCAAAGTGCAGGCTTGCTTGAATACTAATATTTCTTTATTTTCACTGACAAACATTTTTTAAGCAAAGAGAGATAAAGTGGCACAGTAAGCAGCCTGTTCTTGAAGAACCTATTGGAATTTTAAAATACATTTGAAGAAAGAAGGAATGCTGGCATTAGCAAGTTCGTAGTAGCACAGCAAAGATGAGAATAGGACATGTCCACAATGAACACCGGATTCCAAATGACTTACTTTCAACTGTATTTTAATATGCAATATGTTTTGATTCTCAAATTTGAAATTATTATTGGCTGAAGTGTTATTTAAGTTCTTGCATCATCAGCATTACGCAGGAATATGAAATGAATTAATTTAGAAGTCACACAATTTTGAGAGATTTATTACAATCAATTACTATTTTTAGGATAGAAATAAGAAATAATGACACTAAAAGAAAAGTTAAGAGACTGTTGCAAATTAAACTCCGAGTTTTCATTCATATATTTTGTATCTTATATAAGTAAATGGAATAACCAAATTCTCATCACTATGTTTAAATAAATATTACATAAGATGAGTTTTATTTAACTGATAGTTACTCCAGTTGATTAACCATGTTTTTTCATTTTGTAATTACATATTTTGCCAAATAATCCACCTTTCCTGTCCTTTTCTAAGAGATATTTACAGTGCTCAATATAATAAAGTCCCTTTTTTTTTTTTTAAATTTACATTTAACACTGAATTTTTAAAATTATACCAAATATAAAACAAAAAAGACCCCAGAAATTGATATTAATTTAAGCCCCTTAAAATATTCTGGATATATTTCATAATCCACAGAAAGTTCTCCAAGATAAAAATATGCCTTTGTTCACTTGTGAATTAAATATCTATATAAACAGCACAAATAACCAAAATAAATTTGTGGACAGCAAATTATTGCCAAACTTGAATTTTGTGACTGTATGAAAACCATTCTAGATGCTTTTAAGAGTATCTGAAAAACTATTGAGAATTTCAATGCTTTTAATCATTTATTAATCAATAGGAATATCAATGCTTGCACAATGATGACATTCTAAATCCTTTTGTACAACTATGCTGCATAATGAAAGAAACATTCACAAGATGATAATGCTTATCTTACAATGTTCAACAAGCAGTAATAACACTCTCGAAATGAAACAGACCAACAAGCCCAGTCTCCTGACAGAAATTCAACATGCAAGATATTTCTAAAGATATGTATGCTACTGAATTCAGACTGTCATTTAACAACAACAGACAGCTTATACCCAACCTTACGGCAAATACCATATATCCTCGAATATTATCCCCCCTTTTTTTCTGCTGATTTTAACACCCAAAAATAACCAAGTGTGTGGGGGGAATTATGCAAATAATTTAATTTCTGAAGTAAGCAGTTACAGTAAGAAGAAAACAAAAAGTAATCATAAATAAAATACAGGTAACTATCATAATATTATTTCTTTAAAAGAAACCAATATTCCAATAAGAATACGTTGTAACGTTAACATTTCATATCTAATAAAATATCTTCATCTCTACTTCCCAGTAACTTGAATCTTATTTGTTCTTATTGTCTCTGCTACTTCTTAAGCCTCAAATCATCCATAAATAGAGAAGGTTAATAAGCAGTTGTTGACTCAGCAAAATCGTAGACCGAATGTTAGTTCATTTTTGCTCGTTCTCTCAAATTTCTCCTCATTCTAAATTATGCGAATATTTTTCAAATTTTCAGAATCTGTAGCTAAAATGTCAGGGAAAAAATATATGAGGAAATACGGTTTTTATTGCTTTCCACAAAGCTGATAAATTGTATAAAAAATATCACAGAAAATTATGCAATATACTTGCACTCTTGTAGAGAGTGACTGCAACCCACATGAAATTAACCTACTTCATTTTGAGAAATTCTCATGGGGAAGTTTTCTGATATAAAATAATACTTACACCATTCCAAAAAGAAAATCATATATCATGTTTTCACTAAATTTCATCAACATCCTTCACCCAATTTGTTTACTATGATTTTTCTGATAGTCCTCATGCACAAACCAGTATGTATATTATACTTCGCTGACAGAAACTGAACTCATAAAATTCATAGTTAACAAGAAATATGAATAAAATTTGCTGTTTAAAATAGAAAAACAGATCTAGGTCAATTAAAATTTAGTAACTGTGTGCATAACTACTTGCATTAAACAAACTAATTTTTCATTAATGCACAACATATAGTAATTTAACATGTAGAACGAATAATTTAACACAGCAAAGAATGTTTTAAAAGATTAAAAAAGCAATTTTTAAAATCTTATGTAAGTTAATAAATACGTACTCTCATTTCAAATATCTTCTTATCAATTTCACCAATTGCATTTTCTAAATCCATTGCATGTATTGGTATAGTACTAAAATCATCCATTCCAAATGGGTCTGTACTTGTCTGTTTTGGGTTAAAAGGAGGTGCACCAAAAATATCAGTCTTTACTGTAGATCCTAATTTGGGAAAGAAGAAGGGAAATGAGTTAGTTTGCTTATTATTTTAAACAAAAATGTGAAATCCTCATTTTTGAAATTGAATTACAAACTACTGTCCAGAAAACCAAAAGAAAACTATTATATATATATATATATTATATACATATTACATTATAATATATATATATACATACAAAATGAGAAAAACCTTGAGAAACTAATTTAAAAGGTTTAAAGTACTTTTCAGTTAACAAAGCATGTTGCTCAAACAACAAATATGGAAACTTGCTTAAAGTAACAAATGATGCTAAGAATCCTGTAATTTTTATGACATTATAGGTTATAGCTCATAACCTCTGATGTTATCATAAAGTCAATCTCTGAGGGTTTGAGGGTTCTATAGGTTATAGATTGTAATTTGATTCTTGGTTCTTATTTACCAAATTCCTTTTGACGAGAATCTTAAATCCAGATTGCTTATTTTCCATTGTTTAAATCTCCATTTGTTCATTTAATTAATTCTCAGACAATTTAGGTTGTTAATTTTTGGTTACCATTGTTAGACATTTTCTCATGCTTGGATCACAAACATTGCAGTCTAATTCTTTGGAGTCAGCAGTTTATTATTTTATCGATTGTCTCTTGCTCTACTTTTTACATTAATTTTAATGCTTTTTCAGTTATCATTCCCTTTCTGATTTCTGAATATACTTCAAAGCTGTTTCTCCCTCATTTGATGTCAAGGTTGTTTTCCATGCAACATCTACAAGGGCAGTCCGATAGATAAGTACTTAGTCTACAAAATAAAAGCGAAAAATTTTGGAAAAGTGGCGATTTATTTCTCAACATAGTCTTCTTTCAACTCGATACACTTGACCCAGCGATGCTCCAGCTTCTTTAACCCGTCTGAAAAATACGTTTTCTGGAGGTCTGCAAAGTAGGTCTCCGTGGCGGCGATAACCTCCTCATTCGACTCAAATTTCTGCCCAGGCGAGTGACCTTTTTCAAGTTTGGAAACAAAAAGAAGTCACACGGGGCCAAATCTGGAGAATACGGTGGATGGGGCAGCTGTTCGTAGCCTAATGCGACCAATTTGGCCGTGGCGACGGCGGAGGTGTGAGCCGGTGCGTTGTCATGGTGGAAGAGCACTTTTTTCTTCGCCAAATGGGGCCGTTTTTTCTGCAATTCGAGGTCGAATCGGCCCAATAGTTCGGCATAGTAGAGCCCTGTGACCGTTTTGCCCTTCTCCAGGTAGTCGATGTAGATCACACCTTGTGAATCCCAGAAAACGGTGGCCATCACCTTTTCGGCCGATGGGACAGTCTTTGCCTTCTTCGGAGCATATTCGCCAGGTAAAGTACACTGTTTCGACTGTTCCTTGGTCTTTGGTGTGTGAATCCACGTTTCATCAACGATCACGAAACGACGCAGAAACTCCTTCGGAATGTGCTTAAACAGTGTCAAACACTGCTCTGAAGTGGTCTCACAGATGCGCTTGTTGTCCGGAGTAAGCAAACGCGGCACCCATCAAGCCGACAGCTTTCTCATGCCCAATATTTCATGCAGGATATGACCCACACGGTCTTTTGACATGCCTACTGTCTCAGCTATCTCACGCACCTTTAATTGGTGGTCTGCCAATATGAGATTGTGGACTTTTGTCACGTTATTCTCCGTGGTAGCCGTTTTTGGGGCACCTCATCAAAAACTGATGTGCGACCATGTTGAAACTCGTTAAACCAATTTTTGACAGTCGCCATTGAAGGAGAAGAGTCACCATACACAGCATACAAGCGCTCTTTGATTTCGCTGCGTGATTTCCCTTCCAAAAACAAGAATTGAATCACCGACCGATATTGCTCTTTTTCCATTTTTCTAAAATCCGCAGACACGCCCGCTTCCACATGCGGTCAAAACAAAACTACAAATCCAATATGACTGAAATTTTGACAGTAGCCGTCTACAAGGGGATATACTACACGATAATAAATTTCTCTTACGATAGTGGTGCCGTCGGGGGGTGAGGCTAAGTACTTATCGGACTGCCCTCGTACGTCTCACTTCATCAGATTCTGATTGTTAATAAAAAGCTACCTTCTTTCATTGCTATTTTTGTTTGCATTGTTGTTTATAAATCCGGTGTTGCTTTGATTTTTAAAATCATTTCAATTGTTTAGTACTTAGCAATATTATGATAAGGAGAATGAATTTCAAATATATGCTGCCCAGGACAGAAATCAATGCATGATTGCTGAAATTGCAAGAAAAACTGACTTAAAAACAAAACTTATACAGCAATCATACCATATTAAAGTACACAATTTTGTTTTGCACTCATTTTGAAGTATTTTTCATGTATTACAATTAGTTTTAAGGAGCTAGGCCATCTACCAATGATACAGTACAATGGGTTCCCCCCCCCCAAAAAAAAATAAGTCACCCTTCACACAAAAAAGCAGCTCAAGCATTAATTTTAAAATCTTTTTCTGTATTCATTATTGAAATTATAAATAATAATGTCTTTGAATTTTCTAGCTGCAGTGCATTCTTACTTCAATTCTCAACAGACATTCATGTCTTAGTTTGACTCTGTGCTGTTTAGCTTGTATATATATATCAGTTTATTCTAAAAGTTTTTCTTTTCAGAATTAATCAAAATAAGAATATATTATAGAACAAGCACAGTGAACACACTCTAAGACAACCATCTGTTTTCAAGCAGTAAACGTTTTGTAACAACAACACTCAACAAAATATTTATCTGTCATTTTAATTTGAAGCCTTCCCAGACATTCTGGCTAGTTTATATCGATTTATTTCTCTTTAACCCTCTCAGCGTTACGACCGGAAAATTCCGTACAGAAGGTTGCCTTCCACATTCATTATACATGAAAATTTCTGCTAGCTTTTAATGTATCGGATTTCAGTTTGGATGTATATTGGCAGAAAAGGAATCAAGGTACAAAATGAGAGTCATTTTTTAATTAAAATCAAGAAAATATTACTTATTCATGACATTTTGAGGAACTTTGAAATTTTAGGGCTAAACCCGTAACGCTCAGAGGGTTAAGCATCTTTTCTAACAATTCGAGATTTGTCTCCATATGCAAACCAATGCTCTCACTAGTTTCTTTGTGCTTTATCTCCTAACTTGTCAACCTCTCCATAATGTACCTATGAGGGTTTACTTGATCTGGTAAAAGTTAAATAGTCCTCAACAGATATGAAGCAAATTATTGCTATGTCTGAAAGTAACTACAAAGTCAAACAAAAGTTTAAATAAGACTCTTATTTAAAAAGAACTTAAAATATAAAGGCATATTCTTATGCTAACAAAATCAATTGCAACTCATGGTGATGTAATTAAACAAGAACAGTCAAAAATTCAAACTAAAAATGTGGACCAGCGGTCTTATCGCTGACTCTACAATTTAATTTTAATTTAAGCTGGCTCAGTAACTCTATCGTCATAACAAATTCAAAAGTCAGCAGCGATAATGCAAATTACAAATTATCAGAGATGGAGGAACTAATGTAGCGAGCCAGCGGAGATCAGAAACACACTGTCTCCCAAAAAACTCAGTTTAAAAACTGTCTAAGTGATTTGCATTCTGGAAGGAAGCAGAAATGGGAAATTATAGTAAAGGATGAAATTATAAACAGCTGGGTAATTTACATAATAATAACTATATATATATATATAAAGAATAATTCTCTTTATGTATTTGGTTTCTTTCTTCAGCATGTTTCCTTTTCCTTTTAGAATTTTTGGATTTAATTAAAGATTTCTGTTATTAAAAATAAATAAATAAATAAATAAAATAAATAACTAAATTTAGAATGTATAGAAAAAGCTCCTAATTTTATTTCTTTAGTAATATGAACATTCAGAAGAAATATGAAATATATAGGGTAAGGGCCGGTTGCAGAGCTGGTGTGGCAGTTTTAGAAGTTAGTGACACACTGAGCAACAAAATCTAGAAATGGCAAAATGTTTAAAATTTACAGCAGGCATTGGAAGCAGAATTTAGAAAGGCACTAGGCAGCAGAATTTAGGATCCACAAAGATAAGTTTAATATTCTACGTGATTGCATTAGGTGAGAAAATGCCTAGCTCCTCTTCATTAAGACATATTGCATTAATCTTTTAAATTGTCAGTTTCCAATTTCTTTATTAATAAAAAAATTCCTTTCTATATTGCCTGTCCATGTGATAAGATTAGAAGCATTCTTGATATTTTCCATGCTTATGTCTGGTGAAAAGTAGAGAAAATAAAGAGAAGATAAACATGTTAAGAAAAGGATTAGTACCAGAAGTAAAGCATGTTATAATATTATGTTTTCATTGTTCTTCCAGATGTTCTCTAAAAAGTAAGAAATTCATCGCAAACTTTCTATAAAATATGTACTTTAAATATTAATATCATAGAAACATTTTTCATTTTGTCACATTTTTCTAGAATCTGCTAGAATCGTGGGTCTATAAAGCTTGCCTTCAAATCCTTCTAAACTTTCCAAGCTGCCATGCCTAAAATCCTAAAGAAAAATTACCCTTACCAATTATGTAACAGCAAAAAAGCAGAAATATTTTGGAAAAACAAAAAGAGGGGAAAAGTGTAAAATAATTTTTATAGAAAAAAAACTGATGCATATTCTTAGAATTCTGAGACAATTTACATAGGAGTAACTCTTAGCATGAAAAAAATAAAAAGAAGACATTCTTAATTAATTACACGGCTATTTTACTTTTGCTAATAACTGTTTCGTAAATTGTGCTTTATAGCATTATACCTTCTTAATTTTTCAGATTCAAAATATTGTATAATAAGTGGCCAAAATGGAACTTTACAATATGATGGTGAAAAATAAGAATGCTATATATTAATGTTATTTTTTTAATTTCAATATATTACCATTACTTCAATGAAATTTATCAACATTACAATGTTTTAAAAAAAATCATCAAAAAATTCCCAAATCTCGGTATTAAAAATTTTCTATAGAAACTGATCCTTAAAACTGACAAAATATTGATAAGTTGCCAAATTCAGAACCGTTTAATAAAAGAATTGACATCCCCAAAAGCAAAATTTTGTTTAAGAGCTGTTTAGAAAAAATGAAATAATTTCAAAATGCTTGATTCTCTTCTTGCGCAGAAACTCGAGTATCCTACTATTTATATTAAAAATGGGAACAAATTATAATCCATTCAAGAGATAACCATATTTATCAGTGAACTGCTAAAAATATACCTCCAAAATGATAATTCACACTCAGAACGGAGTCGTAAAAACAGACAAAAACCTCAAGCAATTAAAATTAAGGACCTTCTGCCAATTTTGGCCAAAATTCAGGACTTTTAAGGACCAAAAATCGATTCCAAAAAACCTACGGACTCTTAAGGATCGCATGAACCCTGTGGTTTGAAGATCCATACCTTCCTTTCCTAACAGTTGCTCAGGAATTCACCCTGCTAGAATTCCATCTACTTCAATTAAGTCTGGAATATTTTAGTTATGGCAAAGCACATATGGGTTATCTGTCACTGGCTATGGGAAAAGATGTCTTCATGAAAGATTTCCTAATGGGAACCAGCTCGTTACGCATGCAGAAAACGATGAAAATTCCTATGCAATCATGAATTTGTTTTGATCTGAAGCCAGGCCAAACTGACATGTCAGCCACTGGAGGGTATAAGTACAATTAAGAATTAATCCCTGTAGTTTTTGTGGGTCAAAGTAATTGCAAGTCTTCTTATTTGTTAATTTCTATATTCATCTGTGCTTCTTCATTTTAGATTTAATAAAGCAGCCAATCTTTTAATGAGTCTGTATATATCACTATGGTTTCATTTCTATCTTTAGTTAGATTTTACACCAAAGTTATGTCCGATACCAAATGACACCCAGTTAAACAATAAGCACTAAGCTTAGTTCCTTTGAGTTCTATTGCACAAACCACTATCAACACAATACATAAAAGTTAAGATTTATTAAATCTGATGCTTGATCTTTGCACAAAAAATAAATAAATAAAAATAAAATAAAATAAATAAATAAATTGTATCTTAAGTATTAAATTTAAGAGCAAGTTTAAATTACTCTCTACAACTAAATTAAATATTTGTAGCCTTTAAATGAGTTTTTACGGTCTTGGAAAATATTTTTCAATATATTCTTACCCTTGTTTCCATTAGTAATATTCTCTCTAGGATTAAAATCTTCAAGATCATCTAAAGCAAGATTTTCTAACTTTGTTCCAACAGATGGAGTGTTTGAAAAAGACACTAAATTGAAAAGTTCCTAAAAGAACAGATATGTACATAATTAAAATAACTATGACAAGTTTTGGGGAAATTTATAAACAGGATTATTATTTACAGTTTTAAATAAACACAGAAAATTAAGCAAAGTAATCCAAATACAATAAAAACTAGAATAAAGACCTAATTTTATCTGTAGTTTTATGTGGAATATACATAGCATTCCGTTTAAAAACTATGGGGAAATTTAGAAAATTATACTTAACTTTAACCCCTGAGTGGCATGACCACCTTTATCCAATGATACTTCTTTTATCACCTGGTATATATTAGGTTATAATTTAAAATATTTTGCTTTTTTTACTTTCTTTAAATATCGTATGAATAAATAAAAGTTTACGATAAAAAAGACTAAATTAAGCAATTACAAAAAATGAGTTAATAGAAGCTGTTTAAATACAGGTCGTCGCGAGCAGATCCAAAAAGCTGTGCCACTCAGAGGTTTAAATAAATTTATGAAATTAAATAAACAAAATATCTGTCCATGACGAAAACCTAAAAATATATTACCCCCTGAAAAGTAAACTTTTCTGCCAAAAAGATCAAGACTATTAATTTAAAAATACAAATGTTACAGTAACTTAGCTAAAATATGTAATTCTGACACTTAGTATGAAGCTATAGAATAACTTTTAACAAAAACAGTACTTAAAAAAAAAAAAAAAAAAAAAAGTACAGATTATTCCTCATGTGAACACAAGGCTTTCAATATTTCAAGAAAACCAAATATATTAAATACAAAAAGCAGTACTTTTAACAAAAAACAGTACAGATTATTCCTCATGTGAACACAAGACATGCTTTGAAGGTGTTTTTAATACCTTAACTGCCATATGACCCACTGGTGGATCATGATAGATTTGTTTTTGGTGCCTCATGATTCACCAGTGGGTGACAGCAAAGTTCATGTTTGAGATCTCATATACCACTAGTGGGTCACCTTTTCTGCAGTTTTATATGGGAATATAAATTTCTTCAGCCTCCAGATCACTCTGATAAAATTGGTCCTTTACTTATTAAATATCATGTTCTTTGTTGCCACTTAAACCATAAAATTCAGTTCAACAGCAATGTCGCAAAATAATTTTTAAATGAGCATATCTTTAGAATTTCCGATACAGAGATTTGCGCGCTGGAGATAAAAAATCCCCCCATAGACTGTTGCCATTGCTTGCTTTTAAATCCTTGAGTTTATTAATCAGTTTTACAAAATATGAAATCGATAATAAAACACATTCCAAATTTCAAATTCGGGCTTCCAGATGCCCATATTCGCAGTAGGTTTACATCATTCAAAATTGGATGGCTCTAAGTACTATTGTTTTATCCTAGTGCGAGAAATATGCATACATTTAAGCAGATATTTCATTATTTAATTTCTTCAAATATAATACAGGGCGATAATATTGGGTGGCAACAGTTTAAAAAGTGAAACGGACATTCAGAGAGATTCAATGCAAAATAGCAGAACAAAAACAATAGTCCTTCAGGGACAAAGCCACATTCGAATAAAAAAAAAAGTAGCATTTAGATATTATTAATTCCCTTCATATTATGAAAATGAACCAATTTCCTTTTAAAATTTTGTTATTTTCCCATCAAGGCTAGGATTCATCTTAAAAATAACTCAAAAGCAAACACATTTCATTTCATATTATACAGTGGCTCTGACCTTTCTTTTTCAGATGTAAATCAAGATTTTTTAATTTTTATTAATCAAACCAGATTTTAAAAAGGCCCATTTTGAAGTTTCATGCATCAATGTAATTTGAAACTTATCATTTTAAAGTATGTTTTTTATCACAATAACACTCTCGTTCTTATCAATTATGACTTGTCCCCATCAATCAGCCCATTCACAGGTTTTACTATCTGATACTTGTGTCAAAGTATGTCTCAAAGTTTCTCAGAAGAGGAACTGAAATGCATTTCATACATATTACTGATGACACACAAAAAATTGTAATGATGGTTTGTTGAATAATCTGTAAATGATTAATATTAACAAAAGGAAATTACCTGTGAAGGTGAAGTAGGTGTTGATTTTGCCAAATTATTTGTGACATTTTGCTGCAAAATATTGTTATAGCCAGATTCTATAGCAGACTGATGACGAGGAACAGTAGTTTCACCATTTAAGTGCATAAGATTTTGGGGCTAAGAAAAATGTAAAATATTTCAAGAAAACCAAATATATTAAATACAAAAAACAGTACTTTTCTGCAATATAAAACAGAATTCCACACAAAATCAATATAGTTGAAAATTAAATATGTATATAATGTGGTACATAGTAGGCAGAATATTAAACTTTTTTTCTCTCGATGTTGAGAGAATGAAGTTCTACCATGCAAGCATGACCCTGAAGCGCTGAACACTGCATGCTAGAGTGCATTCCACATTTAAACCTAATATGTAAAAATCTGCCTTTTACCTAAATATTTAGATTCATTTGCACAGAACTTCATAACAGTGCCTATTATATTCTATCACTATATTTACAAAAAAAAAAAAAAAAAAAAAAAAAAAAAAATTATGCTGCTTGCACTGCGTGAAATGTTCTGAATTCTGAATGTAGGTTGTAAGCATTGCATGTTTTATTTGTAACAAACATAACACTCAATAGACTCCATTCAATAAGATTTTGCAACAAATCTGACATCATTTACACACATTTAAAATTTAAATAAAAGGTTCCAGCTCAGCATATCAAACATGACAACAGAGGGCCACTAGTGACACTTTATTCCCATATCACATTTGATATGACGAACACATCAAAGGAAACTGAAGCGTATCATATATGATACACAGGGAGCAAAGAGATTAATGATAAAAAAAATATCACCATGTTCATTCCATTTATACGAGTTCCAACAAGATATTAATTTTTTTAAATTACAAATTATCAAACAGAAATAGACTTCAGCTGCACTAAATAAAAATGATAAAATTAATTACAAAATTCCGATGTATTCTAAGAAATCTATTTTTCACCAGACACAAGAAGATAAAATATAACTTAAAACTAATCTTAAATTCACCAAAATATTGATAATGGACAAATTTAGAACCATTTAATAAAAGAATTCACATCCCTAAAGCGAAAAGTTGTTTAAGAGCTCTTTATTGGAAAAAATGAATTTTAAAATGCTTATGTTTCACTTCTTGCTTAGAAACTTGAGTATCCCATCACTTATATTAGAAATAGAACAAATTATAATTTATGAACCCATTCAAAAAATAACATATATGTCAGTGAATCGCCAAAAATATTCCTCCAAAATGCTAATTCACACTCAAAATGGCAGTTGTAAAAACAGACAGGAAATTTCAGATGATTAAAATTAAGAACCTACTGCTGGATTTTGGCAAAAAATTAAAAACTTTTAAGGGCCAAAAATCGATTAAAAAAATCTGAAGACTTTTAAAGACTCGTAAGGACCGCACGAACCCTGTTTTTTATTAAGCCACGGCCATTTTCTCTTGTAACATCACTAATATTTACCTCCAGTAACAAGCAGCTCCAAAAGAAGATCAGTTTTTCCATCTTTTATTTCCAGTAATGAACAGCTATCAAAACAAATAAATAAATAAATAAAAAGGAGTGTCTCTTTTTTTAATGCGGCTTTAGTCCTCCTCCCAGCAAAGAATAAAAAATGTGAAAATTCGAGCAAAATTAATCTGTTCTTTTAGTTTGGGTTATTGCACCTTACACAACTAATCTTCTTCAAATAATCATGTGCTGTACTTCTTGGAATATTTACACTGTCTAATAGTTCCTAAACTGGATAACTTAAGGCTTGTAAGCTGTAGCTTCTTTTAATAGGTCCTTGTTTACAGTGGCCACTTACCCAAAGCAAAGTATATGTATATATATAAACACCTACATAAATTAATTAACCAAAGTAAACGTCTATTTGAAAAATGGCACTTAACAGTGTTGCCAAAAACTTTTGAGTTAAAATAGCAAAGAATAACACGTGATATTACAGATTACATGATTTTTGCGATACAACGAGTTCACAAGATCTCTGATGTCGTCATAAATTTAATCTGTATGCAGTCTGTAAATTATTTCAATATTTATGGAACCATAAATTATCGTAATCTGATTCTTGATCTTTTCATTATGTATATTAGCTTTGAGATAAAATCTTAAAATTAGATTGCTAATTTTCCATTGTTCAAATCTCAATTAATAAATAAGATTTTAATAATTTAAACAATTCTGAGTTAACTTGTAGTGTTATTTTCCAGATAATTTGTACATACCCATTATTAGGTACTTTCTCACATTTGGATTGTTACTACTGTTGCACTAATTCTTTTGAATTATTATTCAAAAGTTATTGATATTCATTTTTTTATTATGTTAGTTATTGATTATTTTTTTAATGTGCTCTTAGTTCACATTTACACAGCTTGAAATAAGCAAATGACATGCCTATTTTCATTCTTTTACCCAGTGGGTATTTCAAGCCAAGCATTTGGTTGGATTTTTTTTGCATTACTAATAATTAACAGCTCAGTTGATTTAGTTAAACTATAATCCAACTTTAAATCCTCTTATCCCACTCAGATCCCTCAAAATCTCGCTCAGATCACTGAAATATTAAACACTGAATAAATCCCACTCAGATCACTGAAATATTAAGAAAGGCAATGAATAAAAAATGGGAAAACAACACCAGTGACTACAGTCTGCTATAAAATAGGAATTTGAACATAATTTTTTGACATCTGACTTGCATCGTAACCGTGAGAACGGCAGCTGCGCCAGAGTTGGTTCAGTTGCAATTTTTTCCCCTTCCACTCTATCTCCATTTAGCATATTTTGCTTAATGAAAGCATGTGGGTGAAATTTTGCTCAAATGAGGTGGAGAAAATAAGCACCATGCAATCATATGACATGCATTACACGATCACAAATAGGAAAAGGTAACAATGGCCTTAAAGAGCCCATTTTAAAGAAAGAACTTAAAGAAATAGATTGAAAACCAAATGCACATACTCTTATGAGCTACAATCTTACGAATCCAGATGCCAATATTTATTTATGCCTAAATAAATATTTTTCATTATAAGCCAATTTTATAGATAGATTGTACAGGCATTTCAATATATTAAAAAAAATTCATGTAGCAAAAAGTAAAACAAGGAGATGTGAAATAGCAGGAAATTCACAAAATTACACTGACAAAAATTTTGCTAACAGATTTGTGAAAAGTAGTAAATTTGTAAAAAAATTGTATGATCTGAAAACACTGCCACATAATCCTATTACATAAAAAAACTTAGTAGACCTAAACACATTAGTTAAGAAAATAAAGCAAGCATAGCTTTAATACATACTGATTGTCCATTTTTCACATTTCCATTTTCTGATGTCATTTCTGCTATCCTCTGCTTCAGCATAGCATTTTCTTTTTCTAATTTCTGGACCTAAAATTTAGGGGGGAAAACTAAAAATCTACATACTATTACAAAGAGAGACAAATAAACTTGTCACTTTTTTACTCAAAGTAAACAGGATATCCTTGAAAATATAACAATCATAATTTGTACACATTGAGAAAGATAAAAGATTTGTAACGATTAAATAAATTTAGTATCTCAATGTTTCTCTCACACCTTTGTGCTACTTAACCTTTTCGCAATGGCGCACCTTTGTTTAAGACGCACATACGAGACGGAAGGGAATCGAAGGGAGTCACTGTACAGTACAGAGGTTTTATAAAAAACTAAGCCTAATTTTATAAAAAAAAAATCAGAAAAAAAAAAAAAGTTTCGCTTCTAGCATCGAAATTTTTGTATTCTTTTAGATTATTACTTGAGCTCTTATATATGTTAAAATTAGCACTTAATAACTTTTTTTTTCTTTATTTTACATGAAAATATACTTAAAAAATTGCTTGTCTTGTAAAATAATTTTCGGAAGCGTTATTCAAATTATTCCAAAGTTTTAATTGATAAAATCCAACAATAAAGTTTTAAATTAATAAAACAACACAATAAAGACTATTTACAGTAAGAAGTAACAAAATTTAAAATGAAGACTGTGGTAAATCTTGAAGTACGGAGAAGTATCACTTTCTAACTCTTAGAAAAAGTATCACTTTCTAATTCTTTAGAAAATGAATCATCACTCTTATCTGCGTTAATTAAATGGTTCATTGACCATACACGGGTATTCTTCCTCTGATAAATAGTGCCTTTCCGCTATAATAGACTGGAGGTGAGGCTTTCCGAAATAAAAAGAGCAGAAAGGGAAATATATCTGAAGGGCAATGCAAAATGTAACAATACTCCCCATATTAACCCTAAAAGAAGTAAACCTCTATAAAAGTAAAGAAAAAAAATAGAATAAAAAAAAAAGAATTGGATATAAATCAGACACGCGAATGTTTTCATTAGCACGCAGCGATTTAAAGAGCTCACCTCTGTTTGCGTTTCCCCCCCCCTCACAAGAGCTGATGAGTAAAATACCAAAGTCAAGCGGAATATATCAAACTCAAGGTCAGGAACTTGAAATTGTGTTCATTTCAAAAGTAATGGACATAGGATGCCATCTAGTGGCCTTCAGAAAAACGTTCCAGCTTAAAATGCGCATACGCATCACCCGTCCTCTGAATGCAATCTCTAGCGATGCGTGGATGGGATGCCCGGCTGTAAGAGACGTTCTTAGGGAATGCGTATATGGGACACCCGTCCTGAAAGGGTTAATCCTCTGCTTATCCTGCAATTTTGAAGGGAAACATGAAAGTAACAAAATTTGCTCATTGCATGATTTTCATGCATTTCCCTTGCTTTAATCATCAATAATGCATTTTCTAGAATATTTAGATTTTGAGTATCTTTTTGGTCAACAGATGGCATTCTTGTAGCATAAATTTTCCCACAGCTAGCTGATTTTGAAAGCACTGCTATCATTTTTATTTCTTATATTCATAGTATAATATCATAGGAAACATTCAGCGAGTGAGAATATGTTTCTGATAATATTTCTGATACTGAAAGTGATTTTAGTTGTTGTAAAGATAGCTATAGTGAAACAGATTACCATTTCTCAGATTAATCTCCAGATAGTGTATAAAAACAGTTAAATAACCATCCAAAATATTTTGATCTCCAAAGTCTTTGTGGAATGCTTATGCATTTTACAGAAAGGACAATCCATTACAAAAATTAAAGCTTCTGGAGTTTTATATGCAAATGACTGAGCAAAATGTCCAAAAGTATGTGGTACATCTGGAAAACCTAGTTCTACTCTCAAATTTTTTAGCTCACCATTTTGCAAGCCAGATATTTCCTCCTCTTCATCATCATCATACGTGGAATAGACAGCCCATTGTGGGCCAAGGCCTTTCTTTCAAGGTTTCTGTTGTTCAGAGGCGAATATTTAGAGTAAAGAAGCCATCGTAGGACAACACACTTTATTTACATGAATAATGAATAAAAATATCACACAGGAAATCGTATTGACCATCACACAGCAAGTAACATCTCACCATCTCCCTACGCTCGAAGCTCGAATGACGGATGTGTCGGTAGAAGAGACAGCTGCGCCATCATAATTAATATGCATGCGTATAAGAAAAAAACGTTCGCTCGCCTCAACCCAACAGTTTCTCCACAATGACTCTTTGGTTATTTTCGATCTTTAGTTCCTCTCCTGAATAGTTAGAAAATTTGACTCCACTAAATCTCAGGTGAACTTTTTTTTTTTTTTTTAATCACTATACATTTGGATCACATAAGGCAACCAATTCATTCTGTAGGATGAATGATGCTGTAAAGTCGCATCACACCATGACCTTTTCAGGATGAAGTGGTACAGGGTGCGTTGCCAGTGGATTTTCTGTTGCCCATATTCGACAATTCTGGGTATTAATGTACCCTGTCAGATGGAAATGGGCTTCATCTGTCCACAAAATTTTCCATGCCCATTCATTATCCACTTCCATGTGAGCAAGGAATTCTAACGCAAACGTCTTTGTTGCTGCCAGGTCAGACCGAAGCAACTCCTGCACATGGCCAATTTTGCTCGAATAGCATTGCAGGATGTATTGTACAATTTTCAGCACCTTGCTCACAGGCCTGTTCAATGTTCGGGCAATTCCTCACGCACTGCATGATTGCACACCACCGGCCGACCCCTCCTGTAAATGCTGTGGCCACTTCTTCAACTACTGTTGAACGACCTCGTTTTCTCCCTCTACCTGATTGCACATCAAACAAACCTGTCATTTTGAATTTTTGCATCATTTTCTTTAGACCCACAACATTCATTGGACCAATGCCTTCTTTTATACCCTTCAGTGTCTTGAATTTTTGCAGATCTACTCTTGCACAATCATCATTCTTGTAATACAGCTTTACCAGCAGAGCGCGAGCTGCAGTGAAACACCCATGGCGAACGTCTGAGACACAAAATGACGAACAGCCTTGTACCTGGCGGTTTTATAACGCTGAAATTTAACTAACATTTTAATTTACATCTTCTTCAGCTCACAGCGCTATCTGTTGCTAACTTTTGAAACTAAATTTTTTCTTCTGCCATACGCTTTCCGCCTTCTTCAATAACATTCCTTTCAAATTTGACGTCATTTTCATCAGTGGTTCTTTTTTTATAGCATTTTGAAACCTAAACTTTAATTATAATCACCCATTTAATTATATATATATCATTAAAGCTCATAGAACATTTTGTAGAATTTTTCTTTCAAAAGTTGCAATGTGATTCTGCTCCAGCTTTGTAAATATTCAAGTCCCAGAAACTTATTTCTAAACAGATCAGCCAAAACAAGTGTTTTTAAATCAAAAACTTCCTTTTTATTGAAACCACTTATCTCCTAACACCATTTATTAAAAAAAAAAAAATAAAATAAAATAAAACCTGCAGAATGCTGTTTGCTGCTAGAAAAAGCTGCAACTGGCAAAAAAAAAAAATCACAGAGAATGTGAAGTGGGACTTTGCCTGGAATCTTGTTTTGCGATTTCCCATACTAAACTTAATTCAAGTGTAATTTGAGTGAATATTGAATATTTCCATTAGTATACATACTTTACATTTTAAATCAAGTTGTATTTTCAGAATTTTTGTCTTCATATGTTTACTCTTAAAACTGATTTTTATGAAAGCCTATTCTTATGCACAAGACCTATATTACAAAAATCTTGGTTACAAAATTGAGCTACAAAACTCTGCATAAGAAAACCTGCCTTCTATTTTTCTTTTACTTTTTTTTTTTCTGCCATACACATTTGCTGGCTCAGGAATCATTTACATATATAATCATCCTACTTATATTATGCATAGTATTTGAATCTAAGTATGATTATGTAATTAAAATATTTAAAATGCACTAAAAAAGAAACCCATTACAATTCAATTAAAAAATAGTCCAAATTAATGTTACATATATTATCCCAATCTTAAATTAGAGCTTTCTAACATTTGATAAGTCAATAAATTTTAATATATTTGTAACATATATTCTTTACTTCACCTTTTTTTTTTTTTTTTTTTTTCTTGGTGGCAGAAAACTGTTTTTTATAACAGTCAGCAAAAGTGTTTTTATTTAGTTTAAATACGCTAGCAAAGTACGAAAAGTTTACCATATTATGCTTTGAAATGGAAAAAAGGCTTCGCACAAAATTTTTATGCTGTAATACATGGCAGCTGCTACAAAAGATTTTAATGTTCATAAAATGGTTTCAATAATTAGCAAGCAATTTTATTCAGGGTTGCATTATGTTGAAAGACTGCCATGAACATAAATAAATTAAGGTCATGATTAATGAGTTAAAAAGCTAACCGAAGCAAATCAATAAATTTATTTGCAGTGTAAAAAAATTAGTTCATTCAATTATCAAAGAAATTGCATGCTTTTACCTTTTTCTGCATTATCATCAGTTGCATTTTTGTTTCCAGATCTTTCCCTGATGTATCTAGAAATTTTCGATAAGCTAAATCAAAAGCTTCACCAATTGTTAAAGTTATGTCTTCTGCCTATTAATAAAAAGATGCAAATCACTAATTCATTCCTGTAACAATATTATTACATCATGAATGAATGAAATTTTTTTCAGCATTTCCTATAAGCCAGCATTCATTGAACACATGTTTGACAAATGACATAAAATTTGATATTAAAAGATCAATTAAATAGGCCTTTTTGATTTTCCGCAGGTATTGTTCGGCAGTTGCATTCAAAATTGCACCAAATAGACTCCTATGTTCCATAATTTTTCTTTGTTTCTATATGATATCTGTTAAACAGGTGATGAGAAGCTGTATCATATTGTATTGTCACTTACTTGTATATCCTACCCCCACACATATTCCATTATCTGTGCAGGTGGTTTCCGGTCTCAGGATTAACAAAATTATAATTGTGGCTATGCCAAAATGCTCAGATATGGTTTAAGTTTAAGTATTTCTGTATTTTATTTCTCATGAAATCTAGAAAATGTATGTTGCAAAATGCAGTACAACACAAGATGAACAAACATTGCACCTACAGCTTTCCATTGGAATAGGGTAACCAAATAATGAAGCAAAGCAGATATGTGCTTGCTCTAGTTCATCTCAAAACTGATATTTAAGCATTATCACACCTTTGAAATACCTTAAAAATATGGTAATTCCAAAATAATACATAAAAATAATAAATACAAATTAACGCGAAATAATACGTCAAAAACGCAAAACAACACATCAAGAAATATTATCTTCAAAACTTTCGAGCACCTGAATTATTATATCAGTTACTGATCAACATTTTTTGCATAAACGTTTTTATTACAAAAAAAAAAGTTTGATGACATTTATTTTGCAAAAAATTTTGCAGCTTAAAATAGAAAAATGTTTAAAACAAAATAAATAAATAAATAAATAAATAAAAATAAATAAGCACATTAGAAATAAATGTGTACCGGGTTTCAATATTTAGTACAAGATCTAAACAAATATATTGATCCACTGTGATCATACAGAGGAGAACTGGAATAAATTAAAGAAACTGAATAGTGAGGAAAAAACTATTACTGTTTTGTGGCTATTTAATATTGTTCATTGTTCAATAACATAATATTCACATTTACCCTGACCTTTACTTCTGTTAACAGAATTATAAATTAATATTAAGAGGGAAAGGAAAAAGAAAAATGTGAAAGGGTTTAGATTTTAACGGTTGCACCAAAAGGGTTTGTTAATGCTTTTTCCTTCCACTCTCGCTGAGCTCGCAGTCTACCAATCTGCTGTTACACTCATTCCTACTAACGCAGTTTGCTTTTTTGTCTTTTTAGATTTATTATCAAACATCATTTTCTTTGCACTTATGCCAATTCAACAGTAAAATTACAAAAATTAACAGCAGCACATGTTTAGAATTCCTGATGCACTGTTAAATGTTGGCATACACTTTTCTATTTTTTCAGTTCATCATATCAATGTTCAGTTTTCTTAACAAGATGGCTTGTAAAGCTTTCTTTTGTCTTTTTATCATTAATGTTTTGCGTGTCAAACTTATTAATTAAATATCATGCTCTTCGCACTTAACACCATATATAATTCAATGGAAAAATCACAAAGTATTTAAAAACAGCATATCTTTAGAATTTACAAACAGACAGTCTTGCATGCTGGAGATAAAAATGGTTTATTATGTACAACAGTATCAGGGGTGTTTGTGGGACCCCAAAAAATCCCCTGAAAATTTTAAGCACTTACTACCAACATTTTGGAGTTTCGAGAAGGGGGGGGGGAGAAATGAAAAATTACAATTATGAAGTATTGAATGACCTAATTATAAAAGTTCAATGAGTTACTTTTTTTACAAAATTAATAACCATACATTTTAAACATATAAACTACTACATTTTATGTAAATATTTTAAATTACCTGAATTAATTCTTTAAAAATAATTATCTAATTTCTGCTGCTTTTTTTTTAATTTTCTGATGTTTGTGGGCTTGTCTTTCTTTTGTGGTAAACTTCATAATTGTAGGAAGGTTGACTTTTATTTTCCTCATTTACAGTTGAACAAATTTCCTCGAGAACTGCACATGCAGAGGTAGAAGCAGTTTGCTTTTCTGCTAATGTAGAAGGGTTTTTCAGAGACTTTTATAGGTGACTCATCTGAACTAAATGTTTTTTAAGTCCTCTTTTAAGTTTTTTAATGGCAAGGGATTCACAGATTTTGAAAAAATTTTCTCTTTTACTGCAGCTTTTCATATCAAAATAGATGTCATCAAACAAATCTTCTAAGTATCTATCAAAACATGAAGCAAATTTTTTTGCACAGTTATTAGCTGTGTGACATGTGTCACCATCAATATCTAATAAGTGGGGTGCTTTGTTTGATCGTAGTCTGGTTTCAACACCCTTTTTTTTTCCCACACATGGTGTTACATGAGTCCATTAATACACTAATTAAGTTTGCCCATGGAATATTATTATCTTCAATAGTATTAACAACTGCTTTAAAAACAGCTTCTGAATTGCAAGATTCCATCTTTAGAGATGCAAAATGATGAACTACAACTTCATTTTGATTGTTGTCATAAAACTGCACCAATATTGCCAGTATACTTTCTTGAGCATTGCTAGTACTTTCATCCAAATTTAGAGAAAATGGAGTCTCCATTAAAGTTTTAATGATATTTTCCTTAATAGTTTTTTGCGAGCCCATATTTCATCTATATAACATGCAGTAGTCCTGGACATTTCCAACGAGTTTAGTGCCTACTGATCGCGGCTCAACTGTTTGCAGAGTTCAATTAATTGGGAGCTACACTGAAAGAAAAAATAAGAGAGAATTCTCGGCGATAAACGAAGTTATTAATACCTCTTGGCGTGCTTTTCTTGTCACTATATCCAATGGCCGAGCATCAGTCTCCAGTAAGTCATCAGTATTTTTTTGAATTAGCATAATTACTTTAAAGTCATTGAATGTCTAATGCACTTTGAATATTTTATGTGCATCACAGTTTTTGAAAGCCTTGAATCCTTCCCCACCATACTTCAGCAGCAAAAAACACAATATGCTTGTCCAGCAACATTTATTTTCTTGCACCATGTGCCGATGGTATCCCCATTACCATCTCTCCATTCAATCCAATTCCACCTAAATGCATTCCGGACACCTTCTTCTAATTGTGTAATATCACTATTTATATCGAGAAATTTCATAGTGAAATTCTCTTGCGTACATAAATAAAAAAATATTTCAATAAACGAAACGAAAAATTTACACGTGCATCAATAAATGAAACGAAAATTTTACACAGCGGAAAAAACAAAGTTGAGAAGCGATCAATGACAAATAGCTAATACGGCGAAAAATCCCCCTTCTCTACTACTTATTGGCACCACGCCAGGAGAGATAAGACCTTTGAACCCAGAGTCACGTGATCCCACATCTGGTCGAACGAAGTCTCTCCCTTTTTTTTTTTTTTCTGCCGCGCCTACTTGCCGAAAAGATCCAGAAGAGAATGTCCAAGAACCGGGGGAATGAGTCATAACTCGCAATAAGGAAAGAACCAAAAAAGAAGTTATTTTCCCCCTTTTCACGCATTATCACTGCCTTTGGAGAAAGAAAGGGAAAGTTTTCACCACACACACTGACCTTGCGTTTTCTGCTTTCAAAGTAAACAAAATTACCCAGATCAAAATAAATAATTAATTATTATTCCTACTTCCTTTTGAAAGACAATCCCCGGAATTTCCGGGTATCGAAGTTCAAAATCCCCGGAATTCCGGGGTTTCCCCGGAGCACAAACACCCCTGCAGTATTGCCACTGCTCACTTCCAAATTGTTGAGTTCCTTAATCAAAAATTCATTACTTGTTTTACAAGACATGAAATATAAAATTTGATTTTTTTTTTCAAAATACAAAACATAAAATTCATAATCTTACCCCCCAGGTGCACATGTTCGGGGAGGAGGACTACCTTATTCAAAAAGTTTTTACAATATAAGGAACATATACACATATATGTAGATTCTTCATCATTTATTTTCTTAAAAAATAATACAAGGCAATAACATTTCGGTCTTATACAACAAAAACTGCAAAATGATCTTGTACAACAATTTGAAAAGTGATACAGCCATTCACAGTGGACGATACAAAATCCTGTTTTGAGACTAATAACCAATTTGGGCTTATTGAGCTAATAATGAAAACAAGCACGTACACAAAAAAATTACTTTCTGGTTAACAAATTGTCAGTCATAACTGCACACTAAAGTGCCAAATGTAGTAGTTTATTTTTATTTATTTATTTATTTTTAGACTTGCACCGAAAGATGTACATCATAAAATGCACAATTAAATACAGATGTAGTTTGAAAATTTAAAACTAAATACATTTTGCTACAGTTCATTATCTTCCACACATAAACAGTATGGAAGATAACAGCAGACAAATTTTGAGATGCTTTTATGGTAGTAATTATCAAAGGAAGCACTGAAGCAACTAGCTATGCTGTGAGATACATATAAAGAATTTCTACTATAAAAGTAGAAAAACACAAAAATACTACATTTCTACTATAAAAGTAGAAAAAACACAAAAAATACTATCTCCATTTCATAGATTACAGATTTTGTCATGTGAAATACTTATTTTTACTTATAACAAAACTGGTTTGTTTTTAATTTTGTACTTTCTTTACTATTTTATCAAACCATATCTTATTCAGCTTTATAATAAATATCAGTAGCTGGATCAGCAACAGTTAAACATATTTAAATGAAATTCACACTTCACTAGATATATGATAAAACGTTTTGAATTATTAATTTTAAGAAAGCACTAACTTATATTATTTAATTTTTAAAAGATATCTCATATGCTTTTTAACACTGCTGAAAAAGATACCAAAACTGATTTAAAAACGTTTGTATGAAATTAAAAATTTTTATAAGTATTAATAAAATATACCAAATAATAAAAATGAATTAAAACATAATAACAAACAAACCAACTTCAAAGACTAAGCAATATAGCATCTTATACAGTGTATACTAACTGTTAGGACACTAGATGTCACAACATAAAAATTTGAATAAAATTTTTTGACAGGAAAAAAATTAAACATTTGTTTTTTCGGGGACTTGTATTTTTTAATTTTATTCACACATATTGCTTACAAAATTATTGGCAAAATAACTGATTTTCTTTCATATGTGCTATTCATTATCTTCTTAAAACCTGCTTGTTTTGGAAAAAGCTTTTTAAAATGTTCTGAAAATTAACTCGCATGAATATTCAGACACTGAACAAACAACTTATATTTACTAAAATTATGGGTCACTCAGTATTTCTTTGGATATTTAGCTAAAATTACTCTTTTCATGTGATTTTGGCATGGATTCAACAAATTTTTCATGCAAGAATATTTGATTTTGTTTCATTCCTGCACAAGAACTGCCATTAATAGAGCTTTCAAAGAAGCACATTTCCTTAGTCTTTTCTCCTTCCTATGGATTCAAAGAATTCTTATTTCAAATTCTATATTAGGATTATTATCCTAATAGACTTTGAAAGCAGTTCCAAGTAAGTTCCAAGTATTCTCACAGATGCTTTCACAGTTTTTCTTTAAGAATATTTCGATATTGATACTGATCTACATTATTTTCTGTTAAAACTAAATTTCTCATCCCAATGGCAGCAGAGCATCTCCAAAATAATATGCATCTAATCCTGTGCTTAATAGCAGGTAATGGAACCTGAACAGAATTTGCATCCAATCCTACGCTTAACAGCAGGAAACTCAATTCTTGTTTCAATTTTCACAGCCTGTGCATCCACCTGAAGTAAAAGTCTTTAAATTTTAACTCCTCTGCAAGTTCCCGTATGATATAGCTTTAGCTTAATGGATTTTGTGAAGACCAGGTGTTTTTCACTTGTTTTAGACTGCCTGTTGTATCCATGTAGCATAATGAATCTCCTCACCATTTCAGAGTTAATTTTTATTACAAAACTTTCTAATGACCTATTGTGCTAATAATGAAAACAAACGAAAAAACTGCACACTAAAGCACCAAATGTAGTAGTTGTTTATATCATAAATGCCATGTTGAAAAGAATATTTCCTAGCAGCTGTGTTTGTTCAAGGAAAACTTTCAGCCATAATAAACATTATTAGCAGACGATTTGGTTTGGTCTTTTTGATTATGGCCAAGAACACAAGATTTACCTGCTTAAGGAAAGAAATGCCTCTACAGAGGGCTTTCTCTGGAAAATTGTCTCATATCCATGATGCACACTAGGGAGAACCATGAAAACACTAATGCATCTATCCTGTTTGCTGGAATTTAAGCAGTTTCCATATATGAATACTTGCAGCTTAAAATATCCCTTGAGGTGATCTGATACCAGATGATACATGCAAATTGTTGAAACGGAGAACATATGCCAGTGAGACCCTGCCCCTCACTACCTAAATTTCTACTCAGCTGAATTCACATGACATATGTAAAGAAAAATGTTCTGGCATCATTAAATGAATTTATTTAGCAGCTTATGCCTCCTGTGCAGTGTAAAATTAATTTCGTAAAATCCATGTCATATTTTTCTTATTTGTGAATGCTCATATCTGTTTTTATTGTGTAGTTTGGCTACTTTTTTTCCAGAAAGCTGTATATATTGTTTGGATTATCATTTAGCCTTAACATCAGCATTTATACTTGGTAAGAAGTAGCATCACATTAACCAAAAGGTATTGAAAAGGGTTCAACAAACTCGCATACATTTTTAAAATTAACACGTTGACTGCCATGGCACTTTTCGGATTCTGGTCGGAGAAGCCAAATCGATTTAATCATATTATATTATCAAAAATACTAATTATGATTCATAATAATCATTAAAAAGTTTACACAACCTTTTTTTTTTTTTTTTTTTTTTTTGGTAGAAAAAAAAAAGAGTCCTACGAATTATCTTGTGGTCGGCTTTTGTTAGACAAAGCTCTTTGCAGAAACCCACTATGAGTTGATTCGTACAGACATGCTTCGACTTGTTGCCTCGGTACAGCTAAAACAAGCGCTAAGCGAGTAAGTGACTCGTAGTGGTGGAAAAGTGGCAAGTCAAGAAACTATGAGATGACTCATATTGGGCATCCTGAAGAAGAGCATTAATATGAGTTATCTCATGTTGGGCAATCAACGTGTTAATAATTCAATTAATGCTAAACACAATTCCCTGTTTTGCAACAAGAATTAACATTTATACAGATTTAAAACAAATACGCTTTCAGAAATTAATAACATACCAACTTATCACTTGCAAAAACAAAACACATATGTTTGTCTCCATGCTCTTCTTTAGCAATGAAACTGAAAAATTTTTTGTCTGATTTGTCATTGGCACAATAAGATATGCGATGAAGGGGATACTGATGGAATATTTGCTGCAAAAAAATCACCAGTTATTAGTCATAAATGCATGATTACATAAGCATTACTATAAAAATAATTCCTTTTTTAAGCTCCAGAAAGGAAAATAATGTGTCAGATTACTGGAACATTCATTTGAAAAATACAAAATGATTTTATATAATGCAAGCTTGGAAATATTTTAAAATATATTTAGATTACAAAAACCTATCAAGTGTTACTTTATTTATTATATTTTTAAAAATCTTACACAAAAATGAATCAATCAGCATTTCCCCTCAAATTTTAACAATTGGCATGTCCCCCCCCTTCCTTCAACACTAGAGAGGTGTAAATCACTTTTTATGGGATTGGATCAGAACTGTTTGCTTAATGAAAATGAACGTGTTCTTATTTAAGACTCCCTCCTCACTATCAATACTCTTGATGAAAAAGATCCAGAATGAAAGGAGAATCAAGAGCAGTTAGCAAAGGCTAAAATGAAGAACTGAAGAACAGAAAGAATCAAGCAAGTTGTGGGATCTAAAAAACTGAGCCAATCAAATGTTACCTTCCTAAACTGATTTTTTTCAACTGCAGTTTTGAGATTCCCTAAAACTTCCTTTCTATACAGAACTAACAATAAAAATCTATAATAAAATATTTTGAAAACATTGGAAAATGATAAAAATTTATTTTTAACATGAGGAATAAACATTCCTTTCTCCCCCCAAAAAAGGGGAGCTGGAAATCTCTATTCCTAGCCCAATCCCCCCTCCCCGAAAAAAAAAAAAGCTGCCCGTGAATTGTAAAAGAACAATTAAATTTTCTAGTGCAGAAGTAAATTTCTCAGCAAAGTGAGATGGTTCTTTGAATGAGTTCCGGAGTGGATCATCCAGCTCTACTCAATACAGATCCAAGTGTTTTTTTTAATGCATTACCAGAGCGTGATTAACCCTTTGAAGCCCAAAATGCCCGAGACAGCCTTTCATTGAAACAACCACAATCACCCGAAACAAGTGATATCGTGATGTTATTTCCTACCCCCCCCAAGTTACGCAGTAGCAGATGCAGTTTCCCAAATGCACTGTATCAGTTTATTGAAGACAGCTTGCCCTGAAAGGCTAATGGAAGCTTCTTTGTTAGGAAGTAGAAAGGATATCATTTGAAATCTTCACACCTCTTTGTGCATTAACAAACGGGAAGGAGAGGAAATGGATGGGATGGGCGTTTCGGTGTTTTAAGCACACAGGTTAGCGACGGCTTTTATTTTTCAAGGGTGAAGAACAGGATAACTAATCATCATTTTCAAGGATTAAAGTAGCATTTGGAAGGATTTTCAAAATTAATATGAATGTTTGAAAACTGGACACATGGATTTGAATTTTTGAAAAGCTTAGCTTTAAAAGAAAAAATAAAGATATATTGCAATACAAAAAAAGGATGGAGGATTCAAAAAAGAACATTTCTGATATGCTGACAAAAATCTGTACAGTGATTGCTTGGGATATTTAGATATAGGGACTGAACCAGTTAAGGAATTTTATTATTTCAAATGGATGAAGCTTGAAAACTTTTCATGTACAGAAAGGAAAGGCAAAAGGATAGCCACTGATGATAATTTAACTAATCTTACAACCTAAACAAATTATCAGTTTCATTCTGGAATGCATAAATAATTTCATTAAAAAAAAGGCTTAGTACACTAATGATAACTTAACTAACCTTACAACCTAAACAAATTATCAGTTGCATTCTGAAGGGCAAAAATTAATTTCATTAATTAAAAAAGGGCGGCTTATTATTTCAGATCATCAAAAAGTGTTAAATGTCACTCTGAGGGTCTGAAAATTATACAGTAGTTCTTTGCCATTCCGGCTCATGACACAAATGGGAAAAAAACTATTCTTCGTACTATCTGATTATTGGAATTTCGCTGAATAACTGTGAAAAAAATGTTTTTTCACGAGGCAAAGCAGTATGTCGCCAAAATAGATATGTGGTAACACCAAAAAGTATTCATGTGGAAACCCATGTATACATGCAGCACATATCTGGTTTGGTCAGTATGCAATGCCAGAAGTTTTATGGATGCCAAATCTGTGCAATACTCTGATATTTTTAAAGCGAAAACAGATCAGTCTGTGCATGGGGAGAAAAACATTTTTTTTTTTAAACGAATTTTCCAAACTGGTTAAATGTTTTATTACCTGTGTTTTTGTCTCTTTTAATTTTACTGATTTATTGCTCTTGTACAGAAGTCTTAGCATGCAGATAGTAGTTTTGAATTCTCTGATGTTTAGATAAAAGCCATAGGCCATGAAGTTAACAGAGAAGATATGAATAATTACTGGAGGGTTAGAAACAATAACCTCAAGTAGAAAGAATCAATACAACTTTAGAAGCAGCAATGAAATGCTATTATGAAAGAAATCTAATGTTCAGAGGAAGATAAGGAAAGAAAATTTACTTTAGTTCTCCTATGTGCATTTGGGTAATACGAAAGTTTGCACAAAACAATATTACCCTGACAATGCAGCAGCAAGCTACAACATAAGCATTTTCAATTACATGTCTCAATTTAGAACATTTTACAACGTATACAACAGCAACAAATCACATCGGACAAATTTTGAGTGACACATCAGACAAATTTTGAGTGAAACAGACGACCAGTGAATCTCACGCAAAGTGGAAAAAAAGAATAAAAGAACATGCTTTATGTTTTTATGTAAGAGAATTTCAAAACCAAACAACAATATTTCCCTTTTTTTTATTTACACCACCCACTCTCCTTTGTACAAGTACAGTAAAATTAAGTTTTAATCTATTTTATCTGTTTAATATTGTGTTAACATTTGTTGTTTTATATTTAATTATTTCTATTTTTGGTTATTCCATTTACGTTTGGTTATGATTTGGAGTTATAAATGTGTGCACAAAGTACTAAAGCAAACCCTTGCCAAGTGCGTATTGGCTGAATGCAATTTTGCTTATATGTAGTAACTTATTTCCATTTGATTTATCTGATGCTGGAATTTCATTTATACACAAGTCAACATTTATTCATCAACATTGAATGCTTACTGGCATCAGTTCTGGATGGAAGTTATCAGCAATTTTAAAGGTTTTCAATGACACCAAAGAAATTGTAGAAATTGCAAAAGATATTTGTAATGAAGCAGTTTCAGATGTGGAAGAAAAAGAAGTGAAAGAATTAATCAAGAAACGACAAAGAATTAGATGATCTTATCATACCAACCAACGGTGAAAGCAGTGGTAATGAAAAACAATTTAAAATGAATTTATTTACCTTTGAAGAAGTTAAAAGACTTGTTAAAAAAAGGCATACAAACAGCCTGATTTTGTATTGGAGATTGAGTCATATGAAGAAAGAAGAGGGCATTTCATGAAAGGCACTGAAAAACTACACTCTTTACTGTGACACTTTCAAAGAGTTGTATTTTTAGCAAAAATCACCAACTTTCACCACCAACTATACATATATATATAAAATTATCACATATTTATTAAGCAGCAATATATTTCAGTTAACAGTTCGTTTTCCTTTTAATTACAACTATATATGTTTGTTTAAATTATACATACTTTCTTAAACTGAATTACACCTAACACATTTTTTCCATAAAAAGTTAACTTTGCGGAATGCGATTTTGTTGTATGTGCAAGATTGTAAAGTTTGAATAGACAATCAACTGTGATTTAGGAACAAATTAATACATTTTAAATTAATTTCTACATGAAAAATTGCTTTATTTTATGTTTTGGTTGACAAATGCTCCTTATGAATGAATTAAGTTTGTGAACTGTGGTTTATCAAAATATGCTGCATGCTAAACTTCAACAGTTTGAAACCTTCTCCTACTACGAGAATCTGTCTGTAAAATGTTATTTAACTCTACGCCTATGAGAAAGGAGTTTCATTTGCATAATTATGGGACTGGTCCACAGTGGAAATTTCAAGTTAGAAAGGATATTCAAATGGATTAATTTCCTCATTTTTGCATTTTAAGATCATGACAGTATTTTAATTTTTGTGCTTCAAGATATAATAACTGTTTCTTGAATTAAGTTGTAAAAAACTGCATTCTTTTCTAGGACAGAGGAAAGAAATTTGGTACAAGTGTACTAACGCAACCACCTTAGCAATATTTGACATTTTTGACTGATGAAAAGATATAAGTTACTTACCAAGCGCAAATTGGCACCTGATTTTTCCAACATGTTTTAAAAAGGTTCACAAACATTTGGAATTTATCGTAAATGGGCAAATTTATCAAAAGAAAATGCACTTTAGCAATTTAAGACGCAAATTTTAATTATTAAATAAGGATTATATGATACATTAAAAAATAAAATGCTTGAAAATTTCACAAAATTCCTCTGTAATTTTTTTTCTGTTGTCCTCTCCATGCACACATCAATCTGTTTTACACACACGCAACAAAACAAAACCAAAAAAAAAAAAAAAAAAAAAAAAAAAAAAATCCACTGCATAAATTTGGTTTTGCGCACAGCTTCAGGATTGTGCACTAGCTATCTAACAATCCATTTTCTTTAGCGATTTAATATCAAAATACTGTATTACTGCAAAAATGTTACCGCAGTATGTTACTTTGCATTACCACAGTGTCCTACACTGCAAGCAAATTCCACAGGTTTGTATTTTAAAATAGATTTCAAGGCAAAAAATATGACATTTAGAAGCCACTGGAACTTGGAATATAACAGAAGGAAAGCACATGAAATTGATGACACTGATTGACTGAAGGATTAAGTGAAGAATGGTTTAATTGATACGCACATGGTTGCCAGAATTTTGTACATTCTGAAAAATTTGCTGACTCTAATTTATTGAATTTTTTTTTGTAATAAGACAATTCAAATCTTTAAAAAAAAAAAAAAGTAGAGCACGATTTACTTTTAAAATATTAAAATTTTAATATATCCTAATATCTATGACATATTCCATGGAAATGAAAAATTTAAATAATACGTAAAAGTCAGAGAAAATAAAATATTTCAAATCAGATAAACAAATGAAAATCATACACATTTGTTACCTGACAGATTTTTAGCACAGTACATTGAAATATGAACATTTCAAACTCTTTTCATGTATAAAACAATCAAATGCTCTGAAAAATTTAAATAATACGTGAAAGTCATAGAAAATAAAATATTTCGAATCAGATAAACAAAGGAAAATCATACACATTTGTTACCTGACAGATTTTTAGCACAGTACATTGAAATATGAACATTTCAAACTCTTTTCATGTATAAAACAATCAAATGCTCTACAGAGTTATATTTTAAATCTAATATTGTGATAGTAAAGACAAAAAAGGTTTTATGAACTTTTTCCAATATTAACAGTTATTAATTTTAGTATTAGGAAAGCATACATTTTTGATTAAATACATTTTGTGCCTGATGCTAGAATCTATTATGATAGGAAAAACAGAAAATTACTTTGCTCTTTGGATCTTGAATAGCAACACCATCTATCGATATGGTTACTTCAACTTTAGGAGTTTTTGCTCCTTCTGCTTTCTTCAATTGTTGGTTAAACTGTTCAACAATTAAACAAGAACAACAATAATTTAAATGCTAAAGCATTTAATGCATATACTAATATAAAAATATCAGATTAAAAAATGTCATTATAAAAAGATAAAATAAATATTTAAATGCAAAATACATAGTTAAAATTATATATAAAAAAACAGACTATTAGTAATTAAGTCTAAACCCAAGGAAAAGAAATCATTTTAATTTTCTTCTACACAAATTGAAAATTCTGCTAAACTAATCATAAAACATGAATTATTGTTCAATCAATATTCATAACTATAACAAACAAAAAGAATACAAACTTTTAATTTTCGAATACCATCTTTTACCACATCAATTCCTTTTGGCTGATCAACTTCAGTATTACCGAGGAACTAAAAAACATCAAAGAAAAACACTAAGCAAACATACATCAAACATTTTTAAAAGATGCATATTATCCATTCACAGTTATACAGTACAAAGTTTGAAATACGGACTCGCCGGGACTTCGGCGATTCCGGATATTAGATAATCAGTTTAAATCTAGTAAGATAGCATGTTAAAATTATAAAACTAAAAATATGAAGTCGTGATTTATGAGATAATGACGTATTTATGATCTAAAGGGTATCAAAATTTACAAAAAAAAAAGCTTAATGTTTATTTGTTTACCTCATTCAACATTTCTTTCAATGTAAGTTGTTTAAGTTGCTTTGTTTTTTGTGCTAATACTTTCTCTTTAATTCTGTAGACAAACATAATCTCTTGTTTAGTTACATTGTTGAAGTTCTGTAACTGCAGCGTCGAAAATTCTGACTAACTTGTCAACCAAAATTTTTTCGTTTTCAGTAATTTTTCTGTCACTTTCTTCACATTGGTAATGGTATTTTCTGGACCTAGAGAACCACACTACAGATTTCGCCCTTCATTGATCGATTGATGATTGAGAAGCATTGTCATCACAATGAAAAACTTCTACATCATCTTCATTTATTACCGCTTCTCCACATTTCTTTACAAATACAAAATCTGTTAATTGGAAAATTTCACCTTTGTTTTGTGATATCCGAAACCTTAAAATTTGCGGCTATCATAATCAAATTTTGCTATCATTCACTATAGATATTTGGCTATGCATCATGAGCCTGGCGACTAATGGCATGTTCTTCCATTAAATTTTATCTTGCTTCTGTTGCGCACTGATTAAGCACACAATTAAGCCTGAATTGTATTAGTTTATTTATTTATTATATTTATGTCTATTTCTTGCACATGCTTAAGGCTTATCAGAGTTCTGAATAAATATATTCCCACATATACTTAAGCCTTATTGAGGGCCAGCACTGGATATCTTACTGCCTAATGCAGTCTCTGAGGGTCCTAAATTCTCCGGTGCGGCCATACGAGCCCTGACACTGGTTCTGGGTTTATGTGAATAACAAATCAGTTATTCTTAATTCAAATAGCTCTAAATATAATCTTTGGGTCTATGAGTATCATTAACAAAATCTACTTTTAGCATATGGAAAGAAATTTTTTCAAAATTTTTCCTCATCAACATTTTTAGAGCATTAACTTAAATCTATAATAATCGCCAAGGATAATGTCAACATAAAAGGTTACCATACTCCTTTATTATTCAATTACTAACATAAAAAAAATTGTTTAGGCATCATTACATGAGTCATTACTCATGTGGAATGTTTCGGTTTGAGATGTGTGCCAAGCAGATATACAGCAATGGAGCCAAATTACTGATCGTACAAATTTATGCTAAAATGCTTGTTTCTTCAATAAAAAAGTCTTTTATTGAGTGTCGAAGTGAAATTAAGAATCGGAACGCTCTACATGTTTCATTACGTGCGGAGGGGGGAATCAAATGTGCATGCGTAAAGCCTACAAGAAAAACGTTGGTGGTGGTTGGTCTGGATTTTAGATCATTCCGGATATTGGACGTCTGGATTTTGGGCTTTGTACTGTATAATATGTTATTTTGTTACATTAGTAATAAAAAGTTTACTACAAGTATCAAAAATAATAAATTCCTTACGCATATGCTTCATTTTCATGTTATACAAATTGTTATAACATTAATCACCATAAAAAGTGCTCACATGAAGATGAAGAAGCTATATAATTGTTTTAGGTTTATATTTTAATGTTAAAATGTATTTGATATTTCAATCCCTCAAAAAAAAAAAAAAAAAAAAAAAAAAAAGGTCTGTTGTGAATTTTATTTTAAAATAGTGATTTATTATGTTGCATTCTGCTTAGATTTTATACTTACATATCAATTTCTAAAATACATGAAAAAAATTAATAAGTAAAACTTCAGTTGACCTTCTGCCTCAGCAAGGCTGTATATACACTGAAGAGCCAAAACATTATGACCATCAACTCAATAATGCATTGTGGAACCTTTGGCCTACAAAACAATTGGAACTTGCCTTGACATGAACACCACAAAATCTTGGTGTGCTCTACCAGTTAAGATTTGAATAGTTAGGTGGCCAGGGCATTAACTGAAATTCATTCTTATGCTCCTTGAACAACTCCAACACAATTCAAATCTTGTGATACACAGGGTACATCTTGTTGGTAGATTCTATTTGCAAATTGGAAAGATAAGACACTATCCACAGTTATCTTGCAGTTTATTATCAGATAGTTCGGATAGTTTTTAGATGGTCGGTTCTACCACAATTAAGGATTCTAGAGTCGCCCATGAGAACATCCCCCAAAGCATAATACCCACACAGCCACACAGCCTTACTATACAGGGAGGAGAGTAATTTTTTGTCTGGAAGATGGCATATCCTGGCACAACCATCCATGTTATGAATGAGAAATTGTGATTTATCTGACCAGTCTCAATGTTCGTAGGTCAACTGTATTCATAGTTGACAATGACACTTGGTCAACAGAGACACATGTGTCGGACGTTTGCTGCACAACCCAATATCAAACAGTGTCCGCGGAACTGTGTATTCCAAAACGGTTGCACTTAAGCCTGCATTATATTGGGCTGTCAGCGGAGCCGCTATCGGGCACCGATTTTGCTGCACTAAGAAGGATAGTTACCGACATCCTTTTTTTTTTAAAGACATGTAGATGTCCAACACCTTGGTGTCTACTGTAGCACCTTGATGTCTCAGTGTTTTACCCACTTTGCATATATACTAGCAATGGCAGATCATGAACAACTTACCAGTCGTGCAGTTTTGGAAATACTCGTTTCAAGTCCTCGGGCCATTACAATCTGTCCTCTATTAAATTTGCTTAAATCAACAGCCTTTAAAATCACTCATGAAAGTAAGCACAAGAATGATTCATTACCCTTTCCAACAGCAGTTAAATACTATTCACACTTAATCATGTGCCCTACAGTCATCCAGATGAATTCATTGAAAAATGTGGGGATAGTCATAATGTTTTGGCTCAACAGTATATATATATATATATATATATACTAAAGAAATATTGATTATATTATCTCCTAATATAAATTTATTAGAAGTATCTAAGAAGAGTGAACCCATGTGTAGGAAGTTTAATTCTGAAAATTGTGTTTTAAGATCATACAACATATATATATATACAGTCAAAAGTCTTTAATCCGGACGTCCATAATCCGAAATGATATATAATCTGGACCTCAAAGCTACAAACTTTCTGCGCATGCATAAACGCATAATACCTTTACACATGCGCATATGCATTTACGCATGCACATAATACGTTTACGGATGCACATTTCATGTATAATGGACAGTATAAGCTAAGCTAAAATTATCTAATTATCTATTTCAGTTAATGTTGCAGACTGCGTTGTACTTTAATCTTCTAATTGGATCCAGCTTATTATTTTTTGTAGACTGTTAGAGCAATTTTATAAAATGTAAGCTTGAACTTTCGATTATGTCAAAAAGAATTTCCGATTCTGGAGCTGCCAAAGGATCTACAAAACGAAAGCCTTTTTTATGTCCATCAAACAAAAAGTGGAATTGATACAAAAAATGGATAAAGGCATATCTTTGTTTCTCTAAACACTCCAAAATCTGTTTATCAATTTCAGGCTGCTCTGCGAGGGGGGGGGTGTCGTGACGCGCAATTAACTGGAAGTTGATTTGTCAGCACTATCCTTATCTTCAGGGCAGATGTTTTTTATTTTATTCGGCTTATAATTCCTTACTAAATGTAGTATTTCATCTCGATGTACTTTGTCTATGATATGATTTAAATCAAATTCCTCGTCATTATAAATATCACGAATACACATCAAATAGTTTTCTGGTTGCAATTTTCTAATTTCGGTTATAAAAATAACAAACAGAGTGATGGCTAATTAAATTTTGAACTTTATTAACAAAAAAAGTAAAGAGAACTTACGTACGTCTTATTGTTTACATGACAACTTTTAGAATGACAAAAATAACAGTGATGCCAGTCGCATAGAACATAATAAAACAATAAAACAATGATGCCACTGAAACTGCACATAATATTAATTAAATGCTGGATTCTCAACAATTTCGACTATGCGTAATGTATGCTTTATGCATGCGCGAATTGAAAGAAATGTTTAATAAAGTAAACAAATAAATATTAAGCCTTTTTTTTTTTTTTGTAAATTTTGATACCCTTTAGATCATAATTGCTCTTTATTTCATATATTATGGTTTCATATTTTTAATTTTATAATTTCTGCATGCCATCTTACCAGATTTAAATTGATGATCTATAATCCGGAATCGCCAAAGTCCCGACGAGTCCGGATTAAAGACTGTTGACCATATATACATAAAGAAACTTAATAAGAGGCAAAAGTTAAAAACAAATTTTCACAAACTTAAAGCATCTAAAGTTAAAAGTAAATTGGAGTCAAAGCATGGCCATTGCTCAACAATATTAATAATTACATCCTTGTATGAGAGGTTTAACACAATATCTAAACAATTCAAAATAAAAATGATCATAGTAGTACAAACTCGAAAACTAAAAATGCAAAAGGGAAAATATATGCAAGATAATAAAAATAGAAATAGAAAAATTAATCTCCTTTCATTTATGGCCAAGGATATTTTCTAAGTACACATACATGCATTTTGAAATATAAAAGTACAAAAATCCAGGTATACCAGAGACATTTTATATTAAAATCATGAAAATACATCTTTCTCATGGCAGTTTTGGGAAATTAAAGCTTTCTCAGCAAAAGCCCGCATCAATTAGATGGTTAGTGTAGTCTGGGTGTCATAATTTAGATCTCCAGATCCAGGGGGGGAAACACATTTCCTTAATACAAATTTCAGAAACTCGGTTAAAGTTTTTAACAAATGAGATTTTTTTTTAAGTAGCATATATGATAAAGATGCAGTATTATAGTAGATTCTAAAGTCACAAACACTTAATTCAGTTCACGTAGAAGTTATCTGAATGACAAGTGCTTTAGATCAGAGTTTCTCAACTGGATTTACTCCAAGGACCGGTAAAATATTTCAGTACGTTCTCGCGGAACAGTAGGTTTAAAAATTTGACCCATTGGCACAATTTTTGGACAGATAGCTGGATATTTCGCGGACTGGTGGCAGTTCGCAGACCAGCAGTTGAGAAAAACTGCTTTAGATGATGAATGGTATCTCGAATCATAAACATAAAAGTTAGCAATAAATGATTTTCAAAAGTGATTTCAGATAACCTATGCAATATAATTAAGAGTCACGGACTTCTAAAAATATTATTTTAATATTTCTTATTGCTTAATTCTCCCCCGGAAAGGTTAGCAGCGAGAAATTTACAGCAGTGGTCTCAAACTGACAGTCCCCAAAGCAGTTTTATGCAGCCTATGAACAAATTTCACTTACATACCTGTTGCAAATATGGTATTGAAAAGATTTCAGTATTTTAATTATTTGAAGCTTGAGTTTATATTATTTTCTTTAGTATTACTAAAATCAAATGTAAATAATGTGACAAAAATACATAAACTGGATTAATTAATATATAATGTAATATCTCATTGAAAGATTGAAAGATACAAGTTTAACATTTTTTCATAACATGATTTTTCAAAAAATCTAATTGCAAATATTATAGGAAAAAAGTAAAAAGGTTTAGAATTTTGCAAAATGCACCTTTAGATTAATGTTAGTTTTATAGGAAACCACTCAATATAGTAAGAAATATTGATAGGTAAGTTATTTCAATAAAAAAAGAATTAAAATGGAATGATATAATTATAAATATTTTTTATTCACAGGAAAACACAATTCTGTTATAATCAAAACATTTAATTTAAAAGCAGCCAATAGGCAATAATATATGCTAAGATTGCTCAAATACGTAGTTTCCATGTAAATCTATATAAATTAGAATAAAAGAATGACTAGTACTTTGGCACATACATCTTTTTTTAAAAAAAAGCCAAAACTTAGGGAAAAAAAAAAAAAAAAAAAAAAGTATACAATTGGCAATTTTGGCACCATAACACAAAGTAATCATTACTGCAACCACGTGACATTGCTAAGTTTTAAGAATACCTGGAAAATAAAATTAAAAAAAAAAAAAAAAAAGGGAATGACTATTTATACTGACTATGTGCTGCCTATTCTAAAAGAATTCTAAAAAGCTGGTTTTGAACTTCTTAAAATGTGAACCAAAAATTCAATTTTGTGGATACATGTTCAAAAGTTTGTATGCCAAATATTGGGACAAGTATAGGGTTCTTAAAAATGGTGGAACAAGGAACATAGGCATACAACAAGGCACCATTTAAAAGTCATACTTAGCAGAGTTTGTGTGGCAGCAAAAGATTGTAGCTTAAGGTTAAAAAAAAAAAAAAAAGTCTTCAAAGCATTTGCCAAACACTGTCAACCCAAAATAATGAAAAAGTAATTGTATCAAATTACTGCCAAAGTTAGCCAATCCTTCTCCATTAAAAGGTAAGTACCAAAAATTGTTTGGTAATTTTTTTTTAACAGAAAAGATCCAAATAAAGCTTAAATAACAGCTCATATCAAAAATGGGAGTGCCATCTAAGAATCTGACATTCCAATCAACAGAAAATTATAGAATTAATATTTTCTCCTATAAATGAAAAAAAAAATAAATGAAAGTTTTGAAAACTCAAATAAAAATTATGAAAAGGTTAAAAACAAAAATGTTAAAAGGAGACTAAAACATATTATTTATTACACACCTGATATTTATTAGATAATTACAGATCACCTTGACATTATAGGAATTGATTACAGGATTACTAAATAACAATAATATAATATGATTAAGAAAAACACATTTTTGTGAATTCTATCTGTATATGTTTGTGATGTCTCCCCCCTCCGTGCATAGTGATATGTTTTCATTTAAAAAATCATCAGAAATTGCACAAACTTGGCACTGAACACCAGCTATCTACCAAACACATCCTATTGCTGTACACAAAATATTCATCTTCTATGCAACTAACCCATTCCCATGCAACACTGTAACAGAGACATTTTACTCTGTGCACTATGTTCCTGCAGAAATTTTACCACAGTTACTTCAAAAGTGCATATTTTAAAACTGAGTTATTAGGTAAAAAATTATCACAGTTTATCTATATAAACTGCTGAAACTTGGAATATAATAAAAAGGAAGCATATGAAAATGGACACACTGCTCGATTGAAAAATTATTATGTGCATGGTTGCCAGAATTTGGCACATTCTGAAAGTTTGGTAACACTTCAACTAAGGTGATTAGGTTATTAGGTGATTATGCATGTTCTAAATTTATTTCCACAATTTTTTTATTGACATTATTTTTGTATTCACTTTTCTTGCTTGGTAATCTGGTAATATGATTAATGATGGGTGATTAGCATATTATATCCACAATTAACTGGAATTACAATTCAAATCAAAATATAAAGACTTGAAAATAAATAATTTGTATAACTGACAATCAAAGTAGCAACTTATAAATCAAATGTGAAATTAATATACCTTTCCAGTTTTTTATTACTAGTATTTACGCTTTAACACAAATGAAATATTTATACTTGTACTTCTCAGATACATTCTATTACTTTACCTTCACTAAATATGCAACATGGCCATTTTGAAGAGCCTCAGGTGGATGAATCCAACTTTTATTTGCTGTAACAAAAAACATTGAAAAAAAAATTATCATACAAATTCAATGAACAAATATAACACCAGATGGCCCAAGATAAACTGAACAGAAAGCAAATGAAGTATGTCCAGTTAGGTTTATCCTGGGCCACCCAATAAAACTAGGATCTAAAATATCAGTTTATGAAACATTAAGCAAAATTTCGAAATGTATTTACATCATGGAAAAAAATTTAATATAAAATTTTAAAAATATTAATATCAGGTTATAAGAAATTCAAAGAGCCATCTAAATGCTTTACCTTTTTTTTTTTAAACTTTTTGAGTTAATATTAAGAAAGCTGATGGTATTATCAAACAGAAATACCTTGTATTTAAATTTCAATAAATTTTATTTTCTTTCATGAAACAACAATTCAATGGCTTTCATTTCTCAAATTAAAACAAAACTATATATATATTCAAAATATGTGTTCCTTGGAGATGGTATATGGAAAGTTTTCTTATTATAAATTATATACATAAACAATGTATAATATATAAATGTATATATATATATATATATATATATATATAAAGGTATTTTGTTTGTTATTTGTGACAAAGATTGCTGTAGGGTAAATGCATGGACTCAACGGCTTATATTTCTCACAGATATTGCAGTTATTATTAACAGCAGAAGTATGCAACTTGTAGCTCAAGAAAAATTATCAAGATTCACCCCGATGATGCACTAATATAGCGTTGTGATTGGAATTTGAAATTCGCATTCAACATGGGTGGAAGGCCAATTTCAAGAAGGAATTTCTTGAAAACATTGATGCTGATACTGTATACTTTAATAGAAATGAGGTGTCTTAGTCGCATGTGAGATGTTAAACGATTTTATAACATACTTAATGAAATCAAATTTTTTAGGATTGAAAGCAAAATCTTGTAATGCTAACTAGCTTCCAGATTTATCATTTTTGTTAGATTTGACTGCTCATTTAAATAACTTAAAACATGCACCTTCAAGGTAAAAAAACTCATTCCAAATGAAACTGAAAGTATTGCAAGCCCATATAAATACAAATAATTATTTAGATTTCAACCCATTGGACAAACATAATACTAAAATGTAAGAAAAAATATGCAACCTTATTTTTTGATTTCGTATGAGCATTGTTCTATATCTCCCGTTCTACTGGGTCGATTGACAAAATTCAAATTGCGTTCTTCATGTCTCGAAAGCGTGACTTACGATATATATTACGTTTATACATAGCACTATTCTAACATAGGTATTTTGACACAAAATTGGACTTTTTCTGAAATAACATGCCAATTTTTTTACATATTTCGATTGTACGACTCAAATTATGCCCAAATATGCAATTTTGTAAAATTTCGTGCGAAATTTACGGAGAAATTCACAAATTTACGTTGTCACTTTTTCAGTTTGCGCCAAGAAGAGTTCATTTGGCGAATTTCTTAATATATGGCAACCTATTTTCCTTTTCCATGAGAGGGAAAAAAGTCACAACATTCTTTCTTTCAAATAACGTTCTTTATATTATATTTTTTATGTTATAATTTTAAATATTTTTGTTTTCCTTTTTCGAATTTCATTTTAATTCTTTAAGTTGCATGGTTTCTTTCGAATAACTGTTTTAAAAATTTCTATTTACTCATTCAAGCCGCGTCGTTTAAATATAAGGTGCATCATTTATTTTTTTTTTTCAAAGAGTTTTCTTTATAATTTTTTTGTCACGGTTATTATTTTAGGTAATTTTTAAATATTTAGACTTTTATTTTAATTGTTTGTGTTGCATTGTCTCTTCAAATTTACTATTTTTTCATTCGAATTGAGCATTTTAAATATATTTATAATTATAAATTTTCCATGATTTTATTTTATTTATTTGAATTGCGTTTCTTTCAGAAGAATACTTTGTGTCTCAGACTACGATGCATCTGAAAACTGAATATATTAAAAGAGAAAATACAGTAAAGCACAGTTAACATGCCTTTCAATGTTCTATTCAGAAAAGATGTATAAATGAGAAAGATGTATAACAGACATTTTAACTTAGGATGACTTGCATATATTACTTTAAATAGCTTTAACATTATGCTCATTGCTTTACACAAATTTATCATCCTACATTTAGTTTCTTAATGTAAATCTACATTTAGTTTCAAATATCATAAGATAAAAAAAACTTTAAATTAAAAAAAAAAAAAAAAATACTAAATTTTATGCAAAAATTTATTTTTTACTTCTGAATGGCTTGCTTTTTTTCTTCAGGCATTCTGCAAGTATATTAAAAAGCATCCAACTTTTCAAAACATCTTGGTATTTCTGACATTTATTTTAAATAAATGTATCGCCTTCCATTCCATAAAGCCAGTAAGGGCTGAGCGGTAAAGTCGCTGAACACTGGTAGTTCGCTCCAGGGTTCGAAAACGGGCTGGTTGCATGGGCATTTTCATGGTTTTTCTCATTGTAATGTGTATACCAGCTTGTTTCCCTTAGAAAGTTCTTCACGAAGGCCTTTTAGGGCAGATAGCCATACTTTGCCGTAACTTAATGATCCAATTTAATCCATTTGATCAGTACTTGGTCTGAGCCTTCATCAGTCTTTAGAGGCTAAGCATTTTAAGGCATGAGATGAAAGGAAAGACTGGTTTCATCAAGAGGGAAAACGTCTTTAGGTGACATCCACATACATCACTGGATAAATTCATGAATATTCAAATAATTCGACTAAGAAATCATGGGATTCTCTGTTTATGATTATATGATGTTCTATAACATAATTTAAATTTATACAAACATATAGTCAAAAACCAGTCGCTCTTCACTTTAATCTGCAATGATATAGTTTGTCTTTTGCTTTAGCACAAGCTCAATTAATGGTATTTGCTAGTGTAAGTGAACTCGCTAATCATACTATAGAAATGATCCTACGTCCAAGTGTTTTCGCTTTGCAAACTCAAATTCCTTGAAGTATTCTGAAAGTATATTCAAACGCATCCAACTTTTTAAAACACCTTGGTATTTCTGACAGCGAAAATCCCCTTCAAATTTTCGCTTCCTTTTCTCCCTACATTTCATCCTTCTACATTTATTTTCAGTGCTCACCAAAAGAAAATTAAGATTTTTCGATTGTTACACTTCCATAAATTCTGCATTATTGTCTTTTTTTTTTTTTTTTTTTTAATATCAATTATATCAACTGTGTTTCAGTTGAAGACAGCTTTTCATTTTCTAAGCATTTTAACTATAAATAAAGTTTAAAGCAAAGTCCAAAGGATAAATATTTTAATTAAAAGATTTTTTGCTAAATGACAAAGAAATAAAACAATCAGAGTTTATTCTGTACCACCCAGCAACCCGATTCTTATATCGGCTGAAACAATCTAAATCATATTAAAGATCATGTTTTTTTTTTATACAATCTATAACGTGAGAGAAAAATTAGCTTCTTAAAATATTCTTTCTAAGAGGATTAATATAAAAATTTATATATATATATTTAAAGCTTGGACTTGAACCAAACTGTCAAACTTTTAAAGTTTAATTTACATGGTGGTTATTATTAAAGTTCCACTTTGAAAATAATAAACTACTGGTCATAAAAGGAAAACTACCATACCAAATGTTATCAAACTTGGTAATAGTGTAAAGGAGGTTATAGGAATTTATTTTCCACAGGAAAAAAAAAAAAAAAAAAAGAGTTCAAAAACGCCACCAGGGGGAAATGGCGCTGTATGCAATATTGTTAAATGAAATAAGACATGAAGACATCAGTTTTAAATGTGTTTAATCATTTCTAAAACATGTTACAAAGCATGTTCAATGTAGCGTTCAGTATTTTCCGAAAGCAAGTTAAATCCTGTTACTGCATTCTCAACAGCAGCTCTTAGCGTATCAGGAGGAATGTTACGGACATGTCAGTGTATCCCATTTTTCATTTCTGCAAAACTGTTTAGATTACCACCATAAACAATGCTTCTGAGATAACCCCATAGCCAAAAGTCACAGGGGTTGAGGTCTGGTGACCAAGATGGCCAAGAAGTGGGGAAAAGTCGGCCTATAAAATGTTGATTCGCGAAATATTGCCTAAGTAACTGTGCGACACATGTGAGGTGGGGCCCAGCCCTACATAAACCCACATTACTGCAGCTCATGTGTCAGGAAACATTTTAACATTGACTCTAAGCGAGCTGCAGTCACAGTGGTCCAGCTGTCGACTGCTCTTCAAATAAAAATGGTTCAGTTGTGAAACTAGCTCTCATTTCACACCAAACAGTGTGGAATGACTGCTATGCAATGGAATGCAGTAGGAGAATGCAATGAAACTAGGTAGATAACATGAGGGATTTTTTTGGCCCAAATTGATTAAAAGCGTTTTGAATCAGTATCTTCATGCTTTAGAGCTGAATTCAGGCTTCAAAAATTATAAATTAGCAATCTGTAAGAAAACGATTTCCAGATTGTACGCACTTTTGCAATTGATTTGCGATCTCACATTTTCTAATTGCCAATTCGCAATTTTCACGGACGAATTTCTCCCTTACACAGATGGTGCACTCGACTTTTATGCCTTTAAATGGTAATTTGCTTAGTTCAAAGTTTCTTTAGGGTATACAACATGTTAAAACTAGTAACAAAAGGTTAAGTTAGGTTTCGACCCTTATTTCATTTAACAATCTTACATACAGCACCATTTCTCCCCTGGTGGTGAGGTTTCGAATTTTCTTTTTTTCACGGAAAAAAAATTCCCATGAACTCCTTTACACGATTACCAAGTTTGATAACATTTGGTCCAGTAGTTTGCCTTTTATGACCATTTCAAAGTAGAACTTAATTATAACTACCCTGTATATTATTAAATTTTAATTTGAAGTTATGCGTTATAAGTACTCCATGTGTAAAATTTTCGCTTTTATGAGGGGGGGGTAATCGATGCAAGTATACTTAGAATAATGGACAAACTGAAAACATTTCCCCTCCCTCCGAAAATAAAATATTTAAA